GAAAAGTACACTTTTTAAACGATCGCCTTCGTCAATTGCGACGCGACGTTGTCCAATACTGCTTAGGAGACACGATGCGAGGAAGATACTCTTCACCGACGAGAAAATCTTTACCGTCGAAGAAAAGTTCAATCGACAAAACAATAAAGTGTATGCCAAAAGTAGCAAGGATGTCCAACCTTCAGCACGTAATGTCTCGCGTACTCATCATCTGGCTAGTGTCATGGTATGGTGGGGAGTTTCGTACGAAGATGTCACTCAGCTTCATTTCTGCCAACAAGGCGTCAAGGTGAAAGCCAAAAATTATCAAAGTGACATTCTAGAGACTGTTGTGAAACCCCTGTCTAATACCCTATTCCATAACAAGTATTGGGTTTTCCAGCAAGACTCGGCGCCATCCCATAAGGCTGAAACCACCCAAGCTTGGCTGAAGGAAAATGTGCCGGCCTTCATTGCGGCGAACGAATGGCCCTCCTCCAGCCCCGACCTCAACCCGCTGGATTATTCTCTATGGACCGAATTAGAGCTCAGAGCCTGCCGAAAGTCCCACCCAAACTTGGAGTCACTTAAGCGAGCTCTTGTCCGAGAAGCGAAGCGAATTCCTCTGGAAAAGATTCGTGCCGCCATTGATGACTGGCCAAATCGTCTAAGGGCATGTATTAAAAACAGGGGTGGTCATTTTGAATAATAATTATATTTAATTTTTACTTACTATCTACTGTTTGTTATTGTTTTTATAAATACAAGTTTGTTATTTAAAAAGATATGCAACTTTTAATTTGTCTCAAAACTTATGAACACACGAGGTAAAATCGCCACATACTATGGTACATTTACTACTAGAACAAGATTTCTGCAGTACATCTTCGATTACAAACGGTCACACCTGTGGTGTCAAAATTAAAAACAATAGTGTCAAAATAATTTTAGAAAGTAACTCGGAAAATGTCACATTGGTATTTGCCGTTGGTAGGCGAGCGTCTTAAACCACCAAGCCACCACGATAATACAAAACTTGGTTATCTTTCTTTTAAGTTGCAATTTTTTTATAGCATAAGCCGGTAAACGATCAGACGGATCACCTGATGGTAAGCAATCGGCGTCGCCCATGGATACCTGGACCACCAGAGGCGTTACAAGTGCGTTACCGGCTTTTTGGGATATGGAGTTTGAGGATCGTTGGGGATTCAGGGATTGGGGAGATTAAGGAAGGAGAGGGTAATTGGGCCTCCGGTAACCTCACTTACACGACGAAATACAACGCAAGCGTTGCTTCACGTCGGTTTTCTGTGAGGCCGTGGTATCACTCCGGTCGAGAAGTACTTTTATGATTTGATTTTTGTGTCTTGAGATGGGAAGCCGATGAGTAGATAGTATACCTAGACTATATTATTCCTTTAACTATGCTAGTGAAGCTAGCAGGTAACGCATGTAGGTACATGACAGGCAATGACAGCTATGTGTATTATGAGAGTCACACAATAGTTAATCAGCTATGTGGCAATGAGCTCATGGGTATTTGTGGGCCTTCAGTAAATTGATGATATTTTTAACGCCATAACTAATTTGACTGTCTCGTTTGGCGAGTTAAAATTTGATTTTCAGGTCAAAGTGTTATTGGTGTTTTCATGTATTCTAATGTTCTCGTAGTACTTAGTGTGTATGAGATTTTCCCAGTATAATTGTAGGAAAATAATTAACAAACATCTGGAAAAAAATATACATTGGGATTTTGTTGATTAACTTTTCATCTCTTATTATTCACTGTTTTAGGTTCAATTACATACATACATACATAACTTCGCGCCTGTCTCCCATGGGGGTAGGCCTCTGCCTACTAAGTATCGTAGTAGGATCGTAGAACGCCAATTGCTACGATTCTTACCCACCTCTTTCGCTTCATCAACAGTTGATGACTGTCTGATCTTTTCATGCCTGCTCGTCGGTTAAGGGTAATTTTAATTTGGCCCTTTAATATATCTCCAAATACTCAAATGAAGATATACATACATACGTGCACCCTGCACCGTTACTGCCCGTTGGTCCACTACTCAAAAATACTAACTGTACCCTACTAAATATTTTCTTTTCTTTCTTCCAGGTATTAATTTTGGTACTGTGTACTTTGATCCTGGTAAACCAAGTATCCAGTCACATACTGCCGGCCCTCACCAACTTCTTCCGAAATGCTGTTACTAATAATGAACAGAAGAATTCAACTACATACGAAATGTCAGACGATTATAAAAAATACAGCTTTATCATAACTACGTATTTATAGTATTAGTAAAATATTAGTATTCATATTTTAATATACTGTTAAGCTGTACAAAATTAGGCATATGTGTTTTCTATCAGTTTCCTTACTATGCATTTGGGACAGCAATGGGAAGTCTTTTTTGGGTTTTTAAATCCATCGAAAAATACCCTATTTTATTGGAACTGAATAAGGGGAAGGTATGGGGAAGGATACTGAACATAAAATAAACTTATGAACTATAGTGGAATTTCTAATTTAATTACCTTTGACACATACTAAATTAATTGTTATGTTTGTCCGCTTACTCACGTAATTATCGACAGTCGTCGCGTCGTGTGCCGCGGAATGTGCGCGGAATGCTGATCTTCTATTCTATACATATAATCTATCTATACATATAATAAAATTGTAGAAAAGTGCTGTCTGTATATTGAAAATAAAAAAAAAAATAGCAGGGGTTATTGTTATGTCGATGTCGAACCCAAAAATGTAATTAACTTTTTTTTTGTCTGTTTGTCTGTTCACGCTAATCTCAGAAACGGCTGATCCGAGTAGGATGCGGTTTTCACAAATATATTGTGGTATGCTTCAGTTATGCTTTAGTGTTTGTTTCATGTCAATCGGTTCATAAATAAAAAAGTTGTGTCAAATTAAAGAATCACGTCGTGAGTATATATTTAAAAAAAAACGCTGCTCATAGTCACTATTCCACGCGAACGAAGTCGCGGGCACAGCTAGTCATGAATATAATCATCTAATATGGTTTTTTTATTATCTATGGTTTTAGGGGCTCTTCGTTTAGGAACATGTCAGTCCCGTTTAATATGGTTTAAAACTAGTCGAGTTCCTCGTCAAAAAATTACGTGAATAAATCGAAAAACATAATAATTAGTTTAGAACATTCGAGATCAGTTTGTTTTATATTGACAAATGTGTAGTTTTTTAAGAAATGTTAGTATTTGAATGTAAATAAACAAAAGTGCCAATAAATTAATGTAATACTTTCTATATTAATATAAGTTCCAAACATAATGTGATATACCTATGTAATGAATGATATAACCATTAGTATATAAGGAACTATTTATTTTGATACACAATATTGTACCTCTATACTAATGCCCGAATACTGAAACGTTACTGAATTTTATGTCGCGCTTAAGCATAGTTCTGTCTCTACATATTTTTTGTAAAATGACAGAGACAGCATGATATTTAAGCATGTCTTAAAATTGAGTAACGTTTCAGTATGCCAGCATAAGATAGGTAAATCTCAGAAATAAATGTTTAAACGTAATGTGTTTTCTCCTAATTTTAAACATCCCCAAAGTTAGGAAAGCCTCTTGTCTGTTGAAAGTTGTGGGTATAATGTGTTTTATACCGGGAGCCGGTGTTTTAACAGGGAACATAAAGGGATAGGTGACATTTAATTGGTTTTCACCAATATATAAGTGACTGCTAACAGTATAATTACGGGACAACTTTATGTGCTACGTCACACCACGCTCAATAAAATGTATGTGCGGAAGAGCCATACTTCGGCACCATTCGTGATACCACGGCCTTACAGAAAACCGACGTGAAACAACACTTGCGTTGTGTTTTGTCGTGTGAATGAGGTTACCCGAGGTCCAATTACCCCCCTCCCTCTCCCTTCCCCATTCCCTGAATCCCCAACATTCCTCAAATTCCTAATCCCCAAAAGGCCGGTAAAACACTTGTCAATAATAAAACACAATTTTAAAGACATATAAAGGTAGTTTTTGTTTGTCACTCGTCGTAATAGTTTGTATTAAAATTGTCAAATTGAGTCAAATCAGACATTCGATTGTAATAGTGACATGTGACCTATGAAATAAAGCATCTAACTTTATTTCATTATTATTACATTGATAAACAAAATATATACCTATAATATATATGTTTTGCAGTATGTTCTAATGAGCGAAACTATACACAATAATTTCATCATGATAATTTTATCAATATTAATAAAGAATTATCTTATAATTAACTTACGGGAACAGGTCACGCATCAAATAAAAAAAGTCTTAATTAAATGTCATGAAATAGCTTTTCTGGCACTGGCCAAAGTCAAAGTCAAGTGGTAAGTGGCAAGAAATTAAGAAGAGACAGTGACAAGAAACCACCCGACACTGGCAGTATAGTCGACAACATCGTATTGGAGACTTGGGTGCTTAAGAAGAAAAAAAAGTGACAAGAAAGAATTAGGTACCGCCAGAAATGACAAAATCTCGTATCGGAGGACAAAATGTGATTTCTGTTGCTAAGCCAACAGAGTAAGAATTATGAAATATGTACGCAAAATGTATTTGTACAATTTGTATTGTTTTAATATGTAATTGAGACTAATGTTATGAAGAGATAACAGTAACATGAGCAGTGTTTTAAATATTATACGAAAACTAGCAAAGCCGACGAACTCCGTTTCGCCACCAGATGGCTTCGTTTTATGTAACATTTCGTTTGGTGATTAAAAGATGAAGAAAAATTTTTTGGTTTTATATTTTAAAAACCTCACGGACCACGAGACCTTTCCAACGAATGCAAAACCGTGGAAATCGGTTTGTGCGTAAGGAAAACCCGACTTATTTTTTATACAATAGAGTTCATTACAGTGCGCAAATAAAAACCAACAATATCTTCCCTTATTTTATTCTTATGATACATGAAACGGATTTATAGACGAAATCACTACCCAACAATAATAGTCCACGATTTATATGCAGGTGTCGTCTGCCCTCCTTCTGGTTGAGGGCATAGGTTCCTTGTATCTTTGCATGGACCGCCAACATGCCTTAGCTGAAGCACTGTATGTGTCCATATATTCTGTCCTACCAGGGTACTCCGCAAACCAAGTCTGTATGGCTTTAGGGGCTACTCCTGTGTGGATCGGTCCTGGTGAAAAATAAAATCAATTTTAGACCATAATTTAAGTGGTATAAGGATGTATTCATATTACATATTACGTGTTCTAAGGGAGTCTCAATTTGTTGTCTATTAAAAACGTTTTCATGTTTTGGCTTATCTCAATTAACATTTCATATGTAAGCGGCTACTATATACTCTGACCCCTCCACGACCTACTAAGGGGTCATGTGCACCATTGATATCAGTAAGAGTATCAGCCACAGAGCAAGAAGAATTGGGTTATATATAATTCTGATATAACACGGAAGGTTTTATCCAGCAACGACATACCCCCTGTGTAGGACCTGTGACAATTATATCTACACCTTTATCTTTAATAAATAAGGTATAAATTTAAATTTCCGTTTACCTGGAGGATTGATAGTGGGCCGGACTGTGGGAGGTTGGTCGGTGAAGTTTGTGGGATCTTTGTAACAGCGTAACATGCCGAGACTATGTGTCTCCATTGGTATCGGAGCATTTGACTGAGAGGCTGCTATTATAGTTCTATAGTCTGTCGTCGGATATGCTGTTAGGACAATGGTAAAAAGTATTAGGATTATTGTCAACGACCGCGTTTTTCGACGAATGCTTGCAATCTACAAATGACAATAGGATTAGAAACAATGAAAACTGTCCACGAAGAAGCATGTTGCATGCATTCGTCAAATAACAAATCGTGGCATGTAAATGACTTAATATTTGCATCTCACTTACGAACACATACTGGTTTACACCGATAGATATTCCTAACATGATTGGGACTTACTCGAAATAAATCTTTGTAATTCCAACCTACCCTAGATAAGTCTTGAATATTCCTAGCAGATGAAACTTCAAATGAAAATTTAGTCAAATTATTATAGACATGAACAATATGATGAATACTGATAATTTTCATGCTTATGTGATGAAACTGAAACTGACTAATGCCCGCACACTGAAAGGCTACTCAATTTTAATTTGTAATTAAATATCGTGCCGTCTCTGTTATTTTATAAATAACATAACATAACATCACGCCTTTTATCCCCGAAGGGGTAGGCAAAGGTGCACATTATGCCACTGTACAATGTAACACCCACTTTTCACTATTTATGTTATGAGTCCCATGTAATAGGGAGTGAGCCTATTGCCATATACCGGGCACAATTTCAGACTCCGTGCTACTACTGAGAATTTTGTAAAAACCTAGTAATACTTTGCCCGACCCGGGAATCGAACCCGAGACCCCTTGCCCGGCAGTCGCACTTGCGACCACTCGGCCAACGAGGCAGTCATTTTACAAATAACTATGATTGTAATGTAATTCGTATAATGCGTCAAGCGTGTCTTTGCATTGTTCTAACATACACGTAGTATTGGAATATGTATCAGAGACATTGTAGAACATACTTTTTTAAAAAGAGTAACGAATAGAGTTTCTTGCTGGTTCTTCTCCATTCGAATTTACATTTTGGAATGAGCACCTAGCTTCACCTAGCTTCACTGACGGACTTACTTTATTTGTTGACGTTTCAAAAGTACCAAATTATGGTATAATTGAAATAAATACTTTGACTTTGAACTAACTAAGAGTATTTGGACATAATTTATCAACATGTTTTATGTCTCATCAGTTCAACAAAACACAAATAACAAAATGACACGTATGTGTATCAAATGAACATGAGGAGATACAAATAAAGAACACTGTGTTGTATCGTCTTAAGTAATTTTAATTAGTACATTTGACCCGACTGACCCAGTCATTATACGAGTCAGTCATAATAAATTTGTTGTGTTCGACGCACAAATTAAATTGGATCAAATGAGAACTTTCCTTGAACAATAGTTGTCTGATAATCTCGTGTCATGTTTCATAGAACGCAGAGTATACAAAATTAAATCAGCTAAAGACGTCTAATTATTATGACATACAAGTTCTATGTGTATCGCGATGTTTTTATTTTTATATAAAACTAGCTTTTACCCGCGGCTTCGCTCGCGTCACAAAAGGATAAAAAGTAGCCTATGTGACATATACCAATACACATATCGCCATCTATACCAATAATTTCGTTTTCCCTCGAGAATATCAAATTATTGCGGGATAAAAAGTACCCTATTATTTAATCCAGACTTGTAACTTCACGTCTGCAAAAATTCAAAGCAATCGGTTCAGTAGTTACGGCGTGATAGTGGAACAAACAAACAAACTCACTTTCTGATTTATAATATTAGTAAGGAAGTATTCCGACCCGGATATTAGGCCAGGCTCTAGTAAACTCCGCGATTCGGGACTGCAGAGATCCGCTCTCATTAGGGTTATTGAATCTCCAATAGTAGGATTCGGAATGGAGCGCAGTGCTTTTTTAGTCAATAAGAGTCTGATACTCCCTCTCGCCTCACCTAGGCCAGATGGAATTTGGTGTTACCCCTCTTAGAAAAAATTTTACTCTGTTACCACTTAATAATGTATGGTTGGTGCGGTGGCTGGGCAACCGGCTGTCGTGCAACGTGTCGCGGTTTCGATTCCCGTGCAGAACAACACTTTGCGTGATCCACATTGTTTCGGGTCTGGGTGTCATATGTATGTGAATTTGTATGTTTCTAACACCCACGACACAAGAGTGTGGGGGCAAGGTATTAATAAAAAATTTAAATGAAATGAGTATAAATAGGTAATTATATCTTCCTCACATCTTTTGATGAATGTTGCTTGATACATCGTCATCATTTTACCGTCGAGGTCATCGCACGGATGGTCCAGTATATCGTTGGTGACGTCTACCATCTAAAAACATTATTTAGCATTTTTATTACGATATAATAATGTGTATTGTACTTTATCCAGCATTGCATCAAATTCAACCAACCTAACAATGTTAAAATTATATTTTAATTTAATGTGCCAAAAATATTTTTATAATAATATGAAAATCTAAAAAAAATTGTAATTGTATTCTAACTGTAACAGTAAGTACGTAATGACAAAGAATTAAAACTTCCTCCATGATAATAACGACACGTCTACTAGTATAATTGCTATATTATTAACATCAATAGTATAACTACATAATTAGGTATTAGACTCTACACAATTACAATACACTAGATCTTCCTTTCCATAAGAGTGAAGGTTAAAGAACAAAAAATAATTAAAAACTACATTGTCTATAGATGAGTGAGAATTCTGAAATATTACTGCCTCGTCTACGAGATTATTAATAGACTACGTCAAGCTACGACGCTAGCCATGCTACAATGGCTGGCTACATGAGAACTATGATGCTACGAAATGCTACGACCACACGTTACATCATACTACGACGCTAGGATTTACTACGATGATAATTGGCTGTGTTAGACAAAAATGCTACAATTTGCTACGACGACCGGCTACATCAAACTACGACGCTAAAATTTCCTATGACGACTGGTTACAGCAGACTACGATGATACTACCATAAGCTACGACGACTGGTTACGTCATGCCAGTACGCTACGATTTGCTACGCCACACCACGACGCAGCGATGCTACGAAAAGCTACGACAACTGGCTACGTCAGACACGATGCTATGTTTTGCTACGATGACTGGCTACGTCAGACTACGACGCAACGGTTTGCTACGACACGGCTAGCTATGTCAGATAATGAGACGCTACGCTAGTCGCTATTAGTAATAAACGGGAACAATGCTACGCTAAACTATAACCACCAATCATGTTGCTGAATGGTATCCCTAATAAAAATCTGTACCTGTTTCCGCAATTGCTCATAGTCTTGGCATAACTTCTGTTCTTTTTCCAAGAGTTGTTTGTACTGCTCCACTCGTGGTGAATAAGAGTGTGCATCGCAGTGGCAGTAAGGAGCTACTGGAGCGGGCCGTACGATCGGCGCTGCATCTGGACTGGGCGGCTCGCATGGTCTAGAAACCAGGAGAAATATGATGTTGATACAAAAGACAGCATCTATTGAATGAATATGAGCCCCTCGCGTGGCTTGAAACTAGTAGAGTTTGTCGTCAAATAGTTATATGAATAAGCCGTTAAAAATCATAATTATTCTTAATTTTTTTTTCCTTTGGCAACCGAGTCTCCAATACGATGTTGTCGACTGTACTGCCAGTATCGAGTGGTGACGGCAGATTAATGCACCGTCGAGTTTTAACTTTGCGGTAGTTTTTAGTAGGTGAAAAGGACAATGACATTCTTAAAATTAATATTGATACTTATTTCACGTTGTTAATAAACCTAACACCCGTAAAATGGATGTTAAATTAACCAGTTATGGTTTTAGGTCCCATATAGAAAGGGGTGAATCTGTTACCTACTAAATGGGGTAGCGTTCTTTAAGATGTATTTGTGTATGTGGGTGTGCCATATTTACGTATGTACTTTTATTATCAAAGCATTTTATAGTATAAAATATAATAATTTCATACCAATAAGTATGAAATCGTGTATTACACATATCTTACCTACTGCTATATACTATACCTACGCATTACGGTACTATTGTCAAGGTGTGTCAAACTAAGGACCAGACAGTGCACATCACGCTACCCTTTCAAATAATTGAATTTCGACTTTAACGTAACGCAGTAATATAGTTGGAATTCTATTACGTCAGACAGCGCGGCGTCTACTTTAAGTACCTACCTATGCATCGTGGAATATCCATAATTGATTATGGTGGGAACAATAACGTCTGCCGATATTTTGCTATCATATTATAAAATTATCATGAATGAGAATCATGAAAATTAGCACTGTCATATAATAACTATGTAGGTGTAAACAATATTGGAAATAGGGATTTAAACTGTCAAACACCAAGCGGTCACCGGTGACCGCGACCTATTGTTCTTTAATTGTGTCTATAAAACCGGTACTCGACGAGTTAACCGACAGAATGCGCTGCTGTAACGGGACCATTTTATGATAAATAAAGATTAGTTGTAAATCAAACATAATTTATAGACCACAAAACTTAATACATAGGTATCATTTTACCTATATTCGTAAGCACACTAAATGTGGTTTAAATATTGTATTGTGATCGCGAGGTCAAAGTGTGGTTGAAACCGATAAAGAACCACAACTTGTGTTATACCAATCAATGAATTAAAAACAAATGCTTAGTAAACAGTGTGATTTACATACCTGGTGGATTATAATGACTCAGTCGTCATGAAGAGTTGTGTACACACTACCTACTAGTAAAGTAATAGCAACTTAACTACTGCTGTTAAATGATTGCTGTAAAATAAATGTCAGGCGCTTAACAACAAGACACATACTTGCCAATAACAGGCTTGGAAAACGGCCACTGGTAATCATTCGACACTGTTGTTTTAAAATCCATTGTATCAGATTTACCTGAAAATGTGCAATTTATATAAGTTAGTTTCTCTTAAAAGTTTTACTAACAACTAACTGTCATTGCCAAGTTACCTACTTACCTCAATTTATAACGTTAATATTTTTGAGATTTATTATTACTACTTTAGCCAGCTGACACCCTACATAATTTAGAATTGCTTTTGATGCCAAAAATTTGAGTTGTAACAGAATTTCTTCAATGAGGGAAGATAAAAACATTTTTGAAGTTTTGAGTTTTTTTTATTCAACTGGCAGCTAATAATCAAAATGCAGCAGACAGTATCGTCAATATCTCGACGAAGGTCAGTATTTTTTCAATGTAAAATAGTCTCTATGAATTATTTGTTATATTAATTTCAGTAAAATTTATGTACTTCTATAAAATTAAATGTACTAACATGCTGCCTAGACAAAAGATTTTTGAATTACGTGCATATACAAAGCGACTGCCATATAATAACAATTTCTACCATTGGTAGTTTTATTTCTACTAGCAAAAATATTTTATTTGGAACCCCTAATTAGCTTTAATTTTTCTGATATTTAATTTTTCACAGTTATAATTATCCAATTTTAATTTAAGATTACTTCATATACGTAAATGTATTCAAGTTATAAAACAACACAAACTTTTACTTCACTATGGTAGGTTTTTTTCGTGACATGGCAACATTACACAAAGCTTCCAATTTTTTGTGTCAACATCGTTGTTTTCCTGTCAGCCGTCATCAAATCAGCTGTGCATCACACACAGAGAACATGTAACATAAATAAATGTGCGTCGTAAATTTACAGTGTTAAAAAAAAATGTTAACAAAGACTTATATTACAACATCTACTAAATGTTTATGATAAATTCACGGCGGAAAAGACATGGCGCAATTGGCGCACCGGAGGAGCAGCGGCATCATCAGCCTGGCTTTTAACCAGGAGCAAGGTTTGTGTAACTTCCTAGTTCGTCAACCTGAGTTCTTTGTTCTCAGGTGGAGTTAGTATTAACCATGTTTAGGATGAGCTGTGATTTGGGAAGTACAGTTGCATGGCATTAAAATGCGCGTGGAGCGTGTTGTGACGCAGGCAGTGCGCTGTGCTACCCTCGCCACGCTCTCGATGCGCGTAGCTTGACACTCCACGTGTTGTTTATATTTTTAGGAGCGCGCCCACGCGCAGTTTCCATTCTTCGCGAGTTCGCTCGCTATTGTTTGGGCGTTGGTTTTGTTTGCCCTAGTACTTGTGTACGCATAATGTAATTTAAAACGCAATTTCCATTAATTTTCAAATGTACCCACTTCGTAGTTTTATGATTACAACTTTTGAGTTGTTTTGATAAACAGCTGTTATTTATTTTGTATGTTGATTAACTTGATATTGTCTGGATTCTAATAATTTGTTTGCTGTCCAGTACCCTCAAATAGTGCATTGAAAGTATTAAAACTGCCACTTTGAATAAATTTGCATAGAAATAATTTGTGGAGTGTTTTCATTGCGGCAGATACATCGATCATTATATTTTATTACTGTACAATAAATAGCAGACACATAATTATTATTCAAAATGTCTTAATAGATGAAGTACTTCTTTGTTCTATTAATTATTTCCTGTGGTAGTCACAGGCATTTGTATTATATACTTACTAATCATTTTGTTACTTTGTAGACTGCTTCGCGTGCTGCCTGAAGACCGGTTTGCGAATATATAATGTCGAGCCACTTGTTGAACTATCCAATTTTAGTAAGTATTAATTTTTCTATAATTTTAATTACATCTACCGACATATTATCAATTTCTTATTACCCTCATGTATTAAAAAAATAACCATGTGGTTATAGTTACGTCAAGCATAAATTCACCATCACATGTTAATGATTTAAAATGCTTTAAAACTGAACTTAATACCATTATACCTGCCCAACAATTTAAGAATTCTATAATCACGGAACCATGAGGCATTCAGGTATATAAAATTAAATGATAAATGATAACTAATTGCTATTTATAATTAGCTGGACAACCACAAAGATTGTAGTATATTTGATAACAGAGGCAAGTTCTATTATTGTTGTCATTGTTCTACTGATAAAAATGGACCAGTTAATAGGAAGTATAAAGTTCATATAATGATTCAGTTAATATCTACTAACATATTAAATTGTAAACAAAAGAGGTTACCTCTTAATAATCAAAAATTAATAAATTAATTAGGTATGCAGACATTTGTATCTGTTAGTAATGTTTTAATTTACTCATTTTCACTGAAAATTCATTAACCATTTGTATGTCTAAAACATGGATCCACGTGAGACACAATATATTTTCTATTGCATCTCATATTGGTGCATTCAAGCGATTAATAAAATGTCTAAACATGTAATAGATAAAGAAGTTGTTTGATTGCATTTACATAAAGAAATTTCAATATATAACACATAATGACTTATGCCATAACTACCCATAATAACTGTAATAATTAAAATGCAAATATTAGCATAACTGGTTTCTTAGAACAACTGTACTATAATTATGCTAATTACTATTTAATGAGTTGTTTAAATAGATATGCACAAGCATCTACTTATAGAAATACTAACAAATTTCAATTATGCAGATATGAATCATGGCATGACTGCTTCATTGGCCGAATGGTCGCAAGGTTTAATTCGGGTCGGGCAAAGTATTACTGAGTTTTTAAAAAAATTCACAGTAGTAGCACGGACTCTGGAATTATGCCCAGTATATGGCAATAGGCTCACCCCCTATTACATGGGACTCATAACATAAATAGTGAAAATTGGGTGTTACATTGTACAGTGGCATTATGTATACCTCTGCCTACCCCTTCGGGGATAAAAGGCGTGATGTTAAAGTATTTAAATTTTTAGTATTTTGAAATAGATTTTAAATTGAATTTTTTATGTATTTAGTCCTTCTATTATATAGTTAGTAAGTTGAATATGAACAAACTGAATGAATTTGTACACAATACAAAATTAGCATTTTAAATTCGCAGAATCGTCCGACGCAAATGATTTACATGTATTGACATTTGTGAACCTTTAAGTATAGTATGTAGGTTGGTGTCTAAATGACTATTAAACTTGTAAATAACCAATTTACTTTGGACAGGAATCCGGAGAATTACTTTGCTTAGGAATAGTCACAAGTTGTAACGAATAGAGACATATTTTCGGGGTATTATTGATAAACGATTTTGATACTACCTACGTTTAACACGGCGTAGAATGACTCGACGACATTTATATGCATCAATACACGATGACTCCTCTAAATCGATCAAAATTTTCGTCCTGTCCTTTTTTGTGTCTTTATGGGTTTGTTTTTTACATATTCTTTAGAAACAAGCAATTTCCTTGCTAGATCCATATTAACTACCTATGTTGGGTAATATCTAAAAAAACCCCGGAATGTCTATATCCGTAGCCAAACGTGAAAGATATTGTTATTGCCCTGTTGTCACTTTACTAGTATCCTTTATTAGTAACAAGTTTACAACAAAGCATAACATTTGTTGCCATCGTCCGCCAACACCACGTGTTGGGTAATAATAATAACAATCAGGAACTCAAAATGGAGGTTCTTGCGGACATTAGTTTTTCATAATAAGGGATATCGCATATAATAAAAAAAAGGTGGCCTTTGTGTAGCAGGTAGACACCATTTTTTTTTTCGAAAGTCATTTCGCGGACAATCCTTACAAAACATCCCTGTTTTTTTAGATGCTATGAAAAAAAAGATGTTTTGATTTTTTTTAACTTTGGCGCGCGTCCCTTTCCCTGGAATTTGTTAGAAAAAAGAATGCGCTATCTAAAGGTAAATAGATGTTACAGCCCGCCAATTTTCGACCATTCAAACTCTGCAATACGTTGCAAGAGTGAATGAACTTCTATATTTAAATCGTTCTGGCAATCTTCGATTGAAATCTTATACTATTCTGAATGTAGTACAAATGTGTGCGATGATTTATACTTTTTTAATTACCACTATTAATTAACTTTGATTTGTCACTACACGATTTGGAAATCTGATATGTAGGTAATTTGTTTATTAAAGCAATAGTATAGGAAATGGTTTATGATAACTACATTGGTCCCCAAAGTTAAATTCATTGGTTCAAATACATGTTCAAACGTGTATCGTCATTATGTCCCTTCGCCAAAGGAACTATCAAGGGGACTGTCAGACTAATATTGATTGAAAACCACCACGGTATCCACGACAAGTTTAGGGGTATCCGATATCTTTCGTAGCTAATACATTCTATCTAAATCATTGATGTCTACGTCTCCAAGTGGAACAAAGACATTCAACCTACACCCCAAACTACCCTGATAATATTTTGTCCTTTAATTAATTCTTAATTATCTGGCTACGGATCGAAGGACCAATAGTTTATTATTGTCTGTTGTGTAATACAATAGTATAGTACATTTTTCACATTTACATTTGTATTCAATTCATTCCCGACCCGAGACGACTGACTGACTTCCACTAATTTAAAATGCTTGTAACTCGTAACGCTATAGACTTTAAACCCAATTCTATTTTCGTCGACGCTTAACCAATAACAATAAGCGAAAACATTTCAATAATTTGTATACGGCTTACGTGTGACGTACGTACGTAGGTATAGTTATGTCTTCCATTCGTATGCAAGTAATCAATCTCGGGCAACACAAATGAGTCACCATTTACTGAGTAAAACCGGTTGTTTTTGTTACAAGTCCAAACTTAAGCATTTCTTGAAAAAACATTTGTTTTGTACACTATTGATCCGCAAAATTTTCCGGGATTTAACAAAGCTTTTCTCCAGACTATCATATTTTCTATGCTAACTTTCATCTGAATAGGTTTAGCCGTTCTGAGGTTAATAAACGAGAAATTTATAACTTGTTGATCCAAGTTTCTGAAATGCAAAAGCAGCACTTTCTAGACATTTTCTAATGCAAGGTTCATTGCCTTTCTCAACCCTTTGGACATTGAACTCCAGCCAAAAAGGTTACACTGACGCTAAACAAATGACGAAGAAATATAGCTAGACGCGCAAATGCTCTAATAAAAAGTCTATTTGGGATTTTAATTCTATATCATGACACTGGATAGACTACTGGAACTTATGCCTTGGTCAAACTATGCTAGTATTTTAGTTAAGTAGCGAGGATTTAGTAAATCTGTCGCTTTAATTTTGGGACTGAAGTGAGAGGGATATACTAAACACTCGCTGCTCGACTAAAATACTAGCATAGTACGAACAAGGCATTATTCATTTGTATACATGCCAGTACTATACTATTAGCCTTTTCAAATTCAAAATTAGGTACCTACTAAGTACTCAATTGTACGCTTTTCAATTCAGCGGTTACCAAAACTGTTACAACTGGCTACAATTACCGTAATTTGCTATTCAGACAAGTTCATTTTGGAATGATGTCATTAGCATCCTTTGCTAATAAAGGTGTTACTTCCATAACCATTCGCCGAATATATCGCGAAGACCGCGAAGTAACACAGTCTAGACTAGACACGATAATGTGCATCCAAAATTATACCTTGTCTGCAAAATAGTAAGTAAAACAACCTCTTGTCTGGAGGAAATGTTGATCTCCAAGCTAATTTCCGCATTACTACCTGCCATAAGCACATATAATTCATGTCACTTAATTAGTTATGATTTTATGAATCACTACTCGAATTTTAGTCAATAAAAACCAGGCAGTCACGTGATTGCACTTAAATGTTAATGAGACCTCATTTTATGTTCTAAAACTAACTGTGATCTAGAACTTGTGAAGTTCATTAAGTATTCGCGGTTTGTAGTCGAAATTTTAAGGTCAAGATGGCTTCTTGTGATATGATGCCTTTGTTAGCACAGCTAAGCACACTTATCGTTCTGTGTCTAACAAATATAATATGTTTATGTATTACTAACTGTCAGCGCTCGCGTTAATTGGATAAAAAGTGATATACATTTCATCCAAATCAGTTGGGTACTTTTTGAGTCTCAAATAACCAGAACTGTTGAAAATATTAGAAGCATAGTTTGCCGCAACGCAGCGTTTGAGCATCACCGAAATGATATCGCATCCCCCATTACCTAGATGTTAAATAACCTACATTTTCATACAATAGGCAAAGTGAAAGAATTTCAAGAGACTATACAAAGTTCGAATATACAAATTTCAAAATTATGTGTCTGCTTTCAAACATTTTAGAATAAAACGCATTTTCGGTAGAGATGGTGTCTAATGCATTGGAGAAATGGCAAAACTTATTTGCTAAACACCGGGCCCAGTCCCTTTTATCAAAAGCCCCGCCGGTCGGTCGCCCCCTATGTAATAATAAGAATAATAACAAACTGTGAATTGTGGGAGTTCTATTATTAACTACTCGGGGATACCCCAACAATTCCCTTTGAAATGACATTCTAATGGCCATGACCATGAAAGATATTTGCCCTACATTGAAAGTAACCCTAAAGTAAAATTCGTTTCTACCACCGGTCACGAACTATTGTTTGTAAATAAACTGTTTATCTGTTGTATGTACGTACAGCTGTTACTATTAAAGTACATGACGGAATGACGTCACAAATGTGTACTAATATTACGCATGATGATAAAGTTTAAACATTTATTTAGGCGAATATTCGCTTACTTACTTACTTACATTTATTTATCTGTTATTATTGTTTTTAAGCTCATTGGTTAACACGAATTTTTTTTAAAAAAGAGAAATAATCGGTGGAATGGTGGTGAATAAAAATGGTGTTTTGATATGAATAAAAGCTCTCGAGTTACTGAATCACTTCGAGGGAATCCCATATTCGCAAGCCCTCTGTTAGTTATTATGTGCCTCTTTATTCTCAGACTCCATACATACGCAATTAGAAAAAGATGATGCGATAACTTCTGATTAATTTCATTGAATTCATCATCATCATATTAGCCGTAGGACGTCCACTGCTGAACATAGGCCTCTCTCAATGACTTCCTATCTGGAAGTAGGTAGGAAGCGACTTGCATCTAGCGAATTGGATTACTCAAAACAATTTGTTTATGTCTCTTTGATCCATCAGGCTTCATCATTTCTGTGCTATCTTTATTGATCACTGCACTACAAGAGTTACAGAACCTGCTTATGAGTAACTGTGCGATATTGGATGCAGATATAACCAGTTCTTTGTCTAAATGTAATTTGTCTTTAACTCCAGCCCTGGAGGAGGTCGGCGAGGTGTTACTGTGCGAGATGATAGAGCGCACCAACTGGCTACTTTACGTGAATGCTCGCCGCCCCTGCAAACTGATGGCGTTCAATGCCCGAGAAAACTGCTTGATGGCGGAAGTTAGCTTCAAAGCACCAATCAGAGCCATCAAAGCAAGGAAAGACAAGTAAGTCAATATTTTTTGTTATGTTAAATGTTTAGGGGTCTTGCACTTAGTAAAATGGTACCATTTGACAAAAAATTACATTTCAACACAATAATAACTTCAATTAGTTTGTGGAAGTTTTACGGTGGTCCGTGCGCCATGGTACTTACGATGGGACCGCCATTTATTATTACCTTATATTTATTTAAACAAAAAAAAAACACGTACAAATGTTTCACAATTCAACAAGCTCGACCAAACTGTAAGGCTTAATAGATTTTAAACTTTGTTGCAAAACAATGAGGTTGAAAATCTAATGAAAAAGACAATGTATGGCAACGTACCCTTAAAAAAACACGGTTCGAGCAAAAAAAAGGCAGCTTTCCCGAACCTTGTTATCGAAATTCCTTTGTTTAAAATAATCTGACAAGCTGCAGTTAACCGAACCCATTTTTGCACGGAGACTCATTGTTTGAATTACCACCATTTGCATTTAAGAAAAAAAATTGGCATGGCTGTATTTGCACATTTTTCGTCCCCGTTTAACAATAGTATGTACCTAACTGACTAAACTAATACGTTTGTGATTTTTTTTATAGATAGTATCTTTCTATTTTAGTCAGCAAGCCTAACAAAGCAAGTAAATCGAGAACCATAAGAACTTTGCGTATAGTTGTAACAATTAAACAATAAATGTAAAATGCCCAAGGACTATTTCAAAATAACATTTTTTGCATTTTTTTTGAGGAACTTTGAAGACTCTTGTTATCCACGAAATCTTTTATCCTTCGAATAGATAGTAAAATCAGTCCTTTACGCTAAACAAGATACGAAAGTTAGATTAAATACGTTTTTCATCCAACATAATATTATTTCCGTTCGCAACGAGTACGAACGACGCATAAAATGGGAAATATAAAAACGCGAAACGTGACCAGCGCCAGTGGCCAGACATTAACAAACGTAGTAATATGTCGACTTTAAAACGATAAGATAAGGGCAACCTTCACCGAATAACCTAATAAATTATAAAAGAATGACGCTATTGTATCTTATATCATTGCAATAAATATATCATTAAGGTAACGTTTGGTTTGATTGATGAGTTTTATGGACATTTATATGAAACAAACAAACAATACAGTTTTTGCTTGAAATCGTCCTTAGCGGGTTGATCTCGTTCATTCACCTCTTCTTTAACGTTTTCATGTAACAAATAGATTTTTCATACGTTTAATATAAAAATATGATTCGTGAGTAAATCGCTCGGTACGCGGCCGTTTAGGATCGTTTTGCAATAGGTTGTTCTATAACGTATTGGCTGTACAGATGCACTATACTTCACTATAGAGTGAATGCCCTGTTGCCATTTAGTTCCTTGATTGCCAAATCGCTTTATCGCTCTATGCATGTCTCGAAGATCAAAGGTCAGAATCTAATTTTGATAAAAAAGGTTTGCTTCGCTTTCGCGAAACAACGAGAAGCATTTTACCTGTTTTCTGGGCATCACACAAAATAATGGAATCTAACGTTCTATAACATCTCTGGTATGGTATGATCTACTGAGTCGTAACCCACTCTTAACTTTGTTACCTTTTTTACAGCTAATTTTATAAGTATGTTTAACCTGCTTGAAGAGATTTTGCTCTGTAAAATGAAACTACTTTCGAAGTTGACTCAGCTTTGTCATTAGTCATACTAGAGGTAAATTGAAATCAATATAGGTACATTTACATTCACATCCCCTGTCACCCCCATGAGACAAGTGAGGTTGTGGATATATGTATGGGTACATTATATTCATGCCAACGATAGCACTGGTCATCTAGTCTTTAATTACTTTGATTCATAAATAACTTTGTAATTATAAAGTTCACTACATAAACGCGTGGCTAATAGCAGTATTGCGCGGTATTCTTATTTATATGACGCAATTTTCTATTAGTAGAAGCCATTGCATTTATTTAGATACCTCTTAGAATACTGAATTTTAATTTTCACTTTAAAGCCCAAAGGGCTGGTCTTTGATAGACCGCGAATTAAGACACACTCAGGCTTGCATTAGTAATAGTTTAATAATTGTTGCTAGATATAAGCGGTATTCGTCGTTTACAAATATCGGGGGAAAAACATAGTGAAGCATCACTTATGTGGCGGATCATTGGCCTCTTTGATTTATTACTCCTACGAATCTACTTACGTTCTTGCAAAAAAAAACCTAAGACATTTCCTTCGATTAAGTGAACTTCTAAGAAAAATTAAAACCATTAGATATATTCCATTTGTTTCGTCATGAAAGATAGATATTAAAACTGCTTTTATCCTTCCTCAGAGTGGCAGTAGTACTAAACTCCACGATCCAGGTGCTGGCGATACCAAACCTTAATCGAGTGGCTTTGATGCGGATCCCGACAGGCTGCCGACCGCTATGCACGATAGCCACCGATGCCACGGCCCCACAGCTTTTAGCTGCACCGGCACACCGCAAAGGATGTGTGCAGATAATCGTGAGTAAAAAATCCTTACATCTTTTTTATCAGAATTTACTTCCATTATAAATAGAAGTCTTCCCCTTTTGCGTTTGTCTGACAGTCTGTCTGTCTATAAATGTGATGAACTGTGAATGAATGCTAGTACCGCCGTAGAAACCTTGCATAATTCTTTAGGTCCCATCAAATTGATCGATGTGGGCATACAATTACGGCAAGTATTCCCAGTGCACAGAGTCTAAAATAGACACGACAATAGACTCACCCCTTTTACATGAGACTCATAACATAACTGATTGACCGTATTCATTTGGAGACTAAACTAAGTGTTATATTTTCATGTCAGTATAATCAGCAAAAATAGTGCTGCAATATAAAGAAAAATTTACCCTATTTCAGGACGTATCGCGAGTGGTAAGGGGTGCCCATTCCTCGTCTCCCGCTGTGATGAATTGCCACCAGAATGACCTGGTGTGCCTAAGTTTATCCCCTAACGGGACTCGACTAGCCACTGCGTCTGAACGGGGCACCATCATCCGCGTGTTCGACACTGGAACTAAGACCCCGTTGCATGAACTGCGACGAGGCTCCGACTATGCCGATGTTTTTTGGTAAGTTTATCTTATAGATTCAGTTAGTGTCGTATAAAGATGAATTAAAAGAGTCCCTAACTACAGTTTTGTGCAAAAATACTGTCACTTCTAGACTACTTTAGTAGACTGTGACATGTAGTAACTGTAGTTCGATAATTAGATCATCGACCTCTTCTACATAAGAACGTTTTCCATAACCTACACACAAAGAAAGCAGCTGGTTGCAAAAATGATTAAAAAATAACCCGGTAAACGAGGAGACGGATCACCTGATGGTAAGCAATCAGCGTCGCCCATAGACATGAAACACCAGAGACGTTACAAATGCGTTACCGGCCTTTTAGGGATTAGGAGTTTGAGGATTATTGGGGATTCGGGGAATACAGAGATTAGGAAGAGAGGGGGGGGGTAATTGGGCCTCCGGTAGCCTCACTCACACGACAAAACACAACGCAAGTGTTGTTCCACGTCGGTTTTCTGTGACACCGTGGTATCACTCCGGTTGAGCCAGCCCATTCTTGCAAACATGACTCTCCCGCACTTGGAATCTATCAGCGACGCTACTGCCTATGTCTATATATATTGACTGCTCGGTTGGTGCGATGGCTGGGCAACCGGCTGCCGTGTTTGTGTGATCCACATATTGTTGTTTCGGGTCTGGGTGTGATGTGTATGTGAAATTGTATGTTTGTAAACGCACCCACGACACAGGAGAAAATCCTAGTGTGGGGCAACGTTTTATAAAGAAAAATAATATAAATATTCCTTCAGTTGGTTTTTATAAGACCCGCAGAAAGGGCAAGGATAGTCACAAGTCTAGTCTATTCTGCCACACGTCTTTTATTTTTTCAATATGTTAATAAAGTTGTAACAAATGTTCACAGTATAAACTTCAACGCCACAGGCACATTAATCTGTTGTGTGTCGGACAAAGGCACTATGCATGTATGGAGCGCGCGCGGTGCTTGGACCCACCTCGCCGCAGCGAAGGCGTTCCCTGACACACGCGCCCAATGCGGCTTCGTCAATGATAACACCGCCATCAGTAAGTATCTAAAATATACCTTACTGTAATTATTTTAAGGGTTTTTTTTAAGGGGGGAAAATCATCGAATGACTGCTCCCGCCTGGGTGAGGCGGAAGGGAGTGTCAGACTCTTACTGACTAAAAACCACCCCGTTCCTTCTCCTGCACGTCGAGCCGGAGCCCCGGTTACCCGTTAGGTTCTCCGCGACTATTTTAAGGGGTAGTTTTCTTTGGATTGCACATGCATTTGGTCTCATGATAACACCACCATCTGTAAGTGTATTCTAAAATATACCTTACTGTATTTATTTTAAGGGGTAGTGTTCGTTGGTGTGAACATGAATTTAGTATCTTTAACTACAGGATGTCAAAATATGTTTTGGCCCATGATTGTGTAGGAATGTCATTGCCATTAAGTCCTGTGCACATAATTGGGATGATAACAGGGTATGAACATTAAAAATCTAATTAGTCCTTAAGTTAGGTAATTAAAAAATATTAGACACGTATTTTTTTATTATGTCGTATAATAAAACAATACTTAGATAAAACGAATCAAAGTTTAGGAGTGGGGGCTAAAACGTCATTTCTACGTATAAAATGTACATAGAAGTGACGTCACGCGACATTTCAAATCAATATATCGTCGAAACTATTCGTTAATGTAAGAAAATAAAAAATACGTGTCTAATGATTTAAAATTATCTACCAGACGGACATTAAAATAAAAATTAGGCATCTACCCTATTATGTATCACCTGATGAGTATAACATATGACACGGTTATCATACAACATCGTATGACAAGTAAAAGTGATATAAACATATAGTCGCATGACTCAAACCTTTTACAATTATCTTTATGACACGAGTCGTTTGTAATACCTATTTATCTATTTTGTAACTGCATAGTTTAATAGTTACAAAGTTAGATTAATTACGACCTTATCTATAAAAGTATACGGATCAGTTTCGCTTAACTATTTAGATCGTGTTAGAACTACAATTTTGTAATTTTATTGTAAATATTATATTGAATTAAGAATAAAAATAATATTTCTTTATACTAACTTAACAATTAGAATCATCACGCCTTCCCCGAAAGGGTAGGCAGAGGTGCACATTACGGCACTTAATGCCACTGTACAATGTAACACCCACTATTCACTATTTATGTTATGAGTCCTATGTAAAGGGGGTGAGCCTATTGCCATATCTTTATTATATATATAATTCTGGTGTACGTGTGTATGTCATTGAACTTCTCCTAAATGGCTTGACCGTTTTAAATGAATTTTTCTGTATGCGTTTGGCATCCTGGATGGTTTAGATTCACAAATCAGCCCGGCAGATGGCGCTGCAGTCGTTTCATATGTAGGAAAACGTCTGTCGGGTCCGCTAGTCATATAAAAAAAAAATATTTATTACAATTATATATTTTTTAATTTTCCAGTGATCTGTGAAGACGGTTCCTACCACAAGTTCACGTTTGCTTCCGAGGGAAACTGTCACCGCACCGACTTCGACATGTTTCTTCAGGTAATTATGTTTTTTGTTATGTTCATTGATTTCATTTTAATAGCTTAATTTTAAACTAAATTACATAAAATTATGTTAAACACCACTATCACAATCATCCAAAAAGAGGCCTTACGAAAGGTATTTTTTTACATTTAAGATCAAAACCGCGTTCAGTGCTCTGATTGGCCGGGTCCAATGGACCATCCAATCAGAGCGCCGAACGCGGTTTCGTATCAATCTCTTTTTTATATTTGATGAGCCGACGTTCGCTCATACTAACCTCTCAGAACAATAATCGATCCTAAGACCTCGAGACCAAGCAAATAACATGTAATAATCCTTACTAACATAAATGTATCTATGTATGTATGTGTGTACCTATGTATGTTCCGTTTTCACGCTAAAACATCTGAACCGATTTTGATGATAAACAGATATATATTAAACCATGTTAACGGATAAACGTTACGTATACCAAGATACGAATGAAAGCGAAAATAGTCAGAACAATAAAATTCTAATTTTAAATTAGAATTGTTTATACAGTGTTAACTAAAACAAATTAACTATAGACACAAAATCGGTTCATGATTTGACAGTATGCAATTATTCATCACGAATAGGGATTACCGTTTTTTTTTAACATTAAATGGTGCTAATTCAGTAAGAGGTCAGTTTGTCCAATCACTGTACCTGTGAAAAATTTAATGACCAATGGTGTGACACTAGCTTAGCCCCTATTGGACGAAAAGAGGTTCACTATAGCTCCATCTGGTGAGAAAAAAAGACGGTAGCCCCCACTTCACCTTCACCTAGCAAACGGCTGAACAACATACTCAAACAATCATTCTTAAAGTCAAATGATTAATTTCGAGTCTATGGTAGACCACATAATGATAAATTATGTGGTCTACCGCATACTTTTGAAACGTCTAGCAATTGAATAGTCTGTCAGTCTGTCCATCAGTGTAGCTAGTTGCACATTCCATAGAAATGTAGATTCACTCATCCCCACCTTCACCACCATACCTACCAATGTCCAATAACTAGATAAATCATTTTGATAAAACATGTCTATCAAAAATCATTAGAATACATGTTTTATTAAAATAATGGTTTTAATATTACCCTATATTAAAAACCTTTATTTTATTTTAAAGGTGGGCGACGACAACGAACTTCTCCTATGATGTTTTTTAATCGAAAATTGACTTTCAAAACTATAATTACGCCTATAATAAGTGATAAAACTGTGAAGTGAAGTTATATATAGAAACATAATTATAAATAACATTAATGAAACAACGCTTTTTGAAAAATTCGTGATATTTTCACAAAATGATAATACTATTATGAAGTTTTAACTATACTGTGTGAACTGCACACTATCGCAGCTTAAGTAGTTTTATAGTTATAAATACTATATTTTCCGTAAATTTTATGTAAAGTATCGCCGATTTCATTACTACGATATCAATTCGTATAACTTATGATCTCTTTTTGATTATGTTCTTCAACTTTGGTGTACCACTGATAATTTTGCTATGCGCAAAAGTGCAACGTTGCGCTTAAATTGCGCTAACGATTTATGGTTGCACAACAAATAAACTATTAAATAAACGCAAGACCCCGCAGGTGTTAATTCAGACTTGGAAACTTAACGATTTAGGAAATTCAGAAAATAATTAATTACAAGAATACATTGAAGTTGACTCACAAGTTTTGTCAATTTCAATGGAAAATCCGTTGTTCTTTTTTTTGTATTTCCAAAAATTCAAACCAAACATTGTTTTTAGGGCTGCATCCAAGGCTTAGCGTTTATTTTGTTACACACTGTAATGAGTTTACTAAAATACACCTTAAATCTAAAGTATAAAGTTCAAAATTCTTAGACTATTGTTAGTAATAAAATCGGCTTAGATATTAGTTGTATAAATCCTCCTGTAATATTTGTTTGACTGAAAGGAGCGCCACTTATCTATACAAGGCACAATATATTTAGTTTTGTTATAGATAAATAAACAGTCAACGAAATATAATTATGTGTAAAGATTGCGGGTTGTATCCAAAGTTACTGTAAAAAAATGCTGTCCATGTATTTTTTTATTTTAATATAATAAATATAATTTTCGATGTTGGCAAGTAACCTTGCAAAAATATTGCCATGTTCATAATATTTCGTAATTCGTGTTTTAAGCCTTTGGAATTTCGTTTCTTTGGAGACAGTTCGCGATCTTTGAATTTAGTTTTTAATTAAATATAATGAAAATAGTGTACCAGGACTTTCATCTGTTAAATTTTAGTTCATTTGAAACTTTATGGTAAAAGACAGAGGGCACTAAATTGCATTTTTACTTTTAGGTTCAAAATGAATGAGTCCGCTATATGATTTTTATACGTAACATTATTGTCACATTATTTGTGTAAAAATGTCAAATTGTATAAATTGTGTGTATCATAATTTATAATATATGTATTTTGATAATATTTAAAAATGTCGTTTTTTAACCCATTCCAAATATATCTATCGAAAAGTATATTTTCTGAAGACAAATGGGCTATTTTGTCCCCATATAAATAATTTTTATTGTCACACAGGTTTCTGTTATCTTTAATTATTTAAAAAAGAGGCTTGTCTACAGACATACGTACATTTATGATATTGTTTACTAAAATTACAAACATTACCTGTTGGCTATGTTTGATTTTAATTATAGACAAAAGTACTGAGCTCATAGAGGGTAAAAGGGGGGTGGGATGGGCGGAAACATATTTCCAACGCCACGATACGCTGCGCAACGCACTGCACGTTCATTGGTCACTACGGTGTCATGCACATACCATGATTAGTGGAATTATGACACATTTTATTGAGCATCAAATGGTTTCGTTGCGTGGTATGACGTGGCATAAATTTGTTTCCACCTTTATTGTTTCAAAATGAATGGAAGATTGTAAAAATCTATCTATATCTGTGAGGAAATGTTTGTGTTGTTTCTTTATTGCAATGCAATAAATATGTTGTTGTTCCATAGCCATAGTTATACACATAGTTACATAAAAGCAATAAAACAATCTTAGCTTACTGGCATAGCTATTTATATTTAAAAAGTTTCCGACCATGGAAAACTTTTATTTACCGTGGACTAGTTTAGTAACATTTAGCAAATAATTGTGGTCTGATTCATTTGTGTTCACAGTTTTTAACTGAATTTTTAATAGATAGGTACTACATATGTCTTGCGTCATAATTTATATGCTTATCATTAATCGTTGTTATATAAAATCATTTTGTAATATAATTTTATTTTTTCAGTTTAACTTTTTCCTTGAGTTCCATTGTTATAGCTCAATTTGAAATTGTACCTTTTGCATTTGCTCATTCGAGTGCTCAGTGGGGTGGTCCTAAAATTCGTTCTTTTATAGTTATATTATATCTAATGAATATATTAACTTTAGACTAAAATTTCGTTGTTGTTTTAAATAGACGTATTGGAACTGAGAGAATATATTAAGCTTGTATTAAGGGCATTATGCAAGCTGTTGTGTAAAATTGTATTGTAAAGTTATATGTATAATTGTGTAAATATTTCTGATAGTCACACATTAGTTTTTGTACTTGACATTAGCAGAGTTACTTGTCTCAGCTTAGCAACTATTTAATCATTCTAGTAATAATTGTAGGACAACAAGATAAATATATATATATGAGCACATTCGGTCACTGTATATACGGAGTTTCAGAATAATGATTTATTTTTTTATATGAATTGTAAAAACGACAGGGACTCCACTGTTTTGTATAAAAGCTTTAGGGGTATATAGTTGTGTACCCGGATAGGATTATTTGGAATTTTAACATTAAAATTTCCTTTTTTATAAATACATTGTTTGATTTCAATGTGATACTAAATGTTATTGATTTTTACAGGGAAAATTACGGAGAGGAGAGGACTACTATTCGGACGGTATAACACGATTTTCATTTGGAATGATTTGGAAGAGAAAGGTTTTAGTACAGCCACAGTATGTGGATAAAGCCGCGAAGCTGGGATTTTTTTTTTTAAGGTGATTGTAAGTTGGTGTTACAGCCGTTGTTTGAAGGTACTTCTGTACCTACCTTTAAGTATATATGAATTTTAACCGCCTAGAAATGGTAAGTGGTCTGGGTATAGTGTAAGCATTAGGCCAATAAATGTAATGATAGGTATCCAATGTTTGTTTACTTCTACTTCTTGAGATGTACGTAATGTACCTTGAATCCCAATCCCTCTATGCCTCGTTTTCCTTATATTGCTAACGGCCGTTTTCAATTTCTATATTTCTATTTGCTTACTAGAGACTTATAAAACTCTAGTTATAACTCATTTTCTATGGAGCTGATAGTTTATTCCGTAAATTTTAAGTTTAAAAATCGAAGTGAACTCGATCGCATTCTCGCCCGTCATTGGTCGAGATTATTCTCACAACCAATGACATGGCGAACCGCGCCCGACTTCTCTTAGATGTCAAAATAGGGTAGTTTCCTAAATTTTATTTGAATGTCCGTCTGGTACATTAACACCTTGAACGCCATGGGGGACAACGTATGGGCCACGCTAGCGGAGGATTTACCCTCAACGGTTTTCTATCGGCAGTCAAAGCCTTAACTTAAAACTTTAGACACGTATTTTTTCTTTTCTCACAAAATTAAATAGGTACTTTCGACGATACTTATATTAATTTGAAATATCGTGTGACGTCACAGCGTGACACATTTTGTAGCACGTTATGACGTAACGACCTCCCACTCCTAAACTTGGCGCCATTTTATCTAAGTATTGCAACCTAATACGAGAAAACATTTTTTTTTATATTGATACCCTGGAAACTACCCAATTCTATCTTTAGTAAGCAAATATACAGACAGACAGCATTTTATACCTACCTCTTCTGTGGATCACTTTGTTCAACGTCGCGTCGTGCCGCCTCCATGGTTTCATGGATCCGAATTAGTTGAATAGGTATTGCAGACTTGGTCAGTTGGTGTTGGTTTTGGTGTGTTTACCCACAGAGTGACCATTGACTTGTTCCCAGTCGTCTGATCATGTGTCTGCAGGGTTCTAGAATTCTTGGATGTCTATTAGAAGTACCATTGACCTCTTAGTTTGATAATATCTCTGACTATCCATGACTTTGGCATGTCCTTAGAGTATTATGATGTTTTTTGAATTGGTTAGCAAATAGAGGTTTGTAGCAAATAGAAATTTTCAACTTGTTCATGTCTTATAACCAAATCTGTTCATTTGTTCATTCAAAAGTAGTCTCTTAATATCGGAAATAAGGTATATAATGGAGTTGAAGAAAATATTGCAGGAATGACAATATAATATTAGTACTGGTGAGTGACGAGTGTAATCAGTGTAATTATTTATTGTTACACTGATACCTACATTTAGATTAAAGTTGTCTAAAGGGCCTCTGCGTAGTTGGCTTCGGCCCCACGTACGCCTCCTAAATGGCCGGGACCCTATGGTCCCGTGAATGGTAAAGACGAATAATAATGATCCCAGGTGGATGACATATAATTGTATTTTACTCAATAATTCAATACTAAATTTAAGTGTTCCCACACTTAAATTTAGTATTGAATTATTGGCTGTCCCCAGCCATGCTTTGGCACAAATGGGCCGGCTACCACATACCACAGCCTCACAGAAAATGACGTGAAACAACCCTTGCGTTGTGTGAATGAGGTTATCGGACGCCCAATTACCCTGCTGTCCTGTGTCCTGCCGTAGTATCCTGGGTGCTTTTATAATCATACAAGTTCACATACACATCACACCTAGACCCGAAACAATAATTTGTGGATCACACAAAGAGTGCTCGGTGCGGAAATCGATCCTGCTACACGTTGAGCAGTGACCGGTTACCCAGCCACCGCATCAACCATGCAATCAATTGTTTGGTAATTGATGTGGCTTCACAATTCACTCTATTATATGGGACACAAAAGTAGATGTTATCTACACAAGTGTGCCAATTTTATGGAAAAGGAAAACAAGCAATAACAACTCATCAACTTTGTTCTATTATCCATAAATTAATAATACCTAATTATACTATAATTACAAAAACAATTAATCACTTTCCCGCTCTGGCTTCTTTCTTCCAAATGGATCGGTCCATACTTTCATGTCTGAAAAAATAAATACAGGTTAATAAAGTAATCTCAGAAAGAAACATATCTGTGTGCCTTTGAGGTATTTAAGATGGTATATGGGTATAAGAATAGAAACTCAGGTAAAGATCAATTACAAATATGAAAACAATGACATAAACACATAACATGGTGTCATAATCAACTTACTTCCAGGCTGAATGTCTTCTTGTCTGATGTTTTTCCTAGCTTCTTTCTGAATTTTTCCTAAAAGATAAAATGCCATTAAATTAAGGTTATCAATAAAAGGAACCATTTGTTTTGATGGATGATCGTACTTACTATATTCCGATGGGTCCATCATTGGTGCTATAGCTATCGGATAAAGGGCAAGACCAATAAAACCGACAAATCCAGTAACGAAAGCTGCATATCGCCAGCCTCTAAAGAAAGCCATGTTTATATAATTTTTGAGCGATTTATTTTATCAACAATCGTCTCATTTTTATAACATTTGACAGTGACGTTACTGACGTTAGTATGACAGCTTTGACAGTTCGTAATTTCGGTTTGACATTGACACTAGCTTTTTCGTCCAAAAATTATTGAGCCACTTTCAAAGCAAAAGTCGAGTAGAACATAGGCTTTTGAGTATATTACTTTCTTGCCCTTTAAATGCCCACGACAGGACGTCCTGATATTATGTTAAGACTTTTGTATTACAACCAACCACTGTCACCTAACTGAAATAGTCTACCTCATTATTGATTGTGGTAAACTTCTCTAATATAGGTAGCAATAGGTGATTCTTAACGATATTTTGCTTTTCACCAACCTATAAGTAACACCTAAGATATTAGTTTAGCTGTACCCTCACACTAAGTAATTCTTAGTTAAGAGATGGTTTAAGCGTGTTTGGAGATTGACCATTAATATCCTAAATCTACACCTAACGAGAAATCAGTGTCTTTTTAATCAAAAAGGATTTAATAGTGCATGGCTCCCAGTTAAAGACGATGAAACACTTGAACACGATGAAAATAAAAAAATAAATAAAAATCACATAGTACTTACATGTAGATAAAGTTGTTTCATTATTTGACGCATCCTATTAGGTCAATAATTCATAGATCGCAAAGGTCAATGCCTACCATCAATGACTCATTCTGTAAGAGATAGTGTAGAGTAGTGTAAGGTCCAGTCCACCCAGGGACGTATTCCTACACTATCAAAAAATATAAAAAAAACAAAATAGTAATATGTATCCACCTATTTGGAAATGAATTAAAAAAGTGCAACAAAAAGAAAATCTCTTGTAATAGTTATTATTTTAAGCGGACCTGAAATCGATTGCAACACTTGTAACTGAAAGTTACTTGTTCTTGCCTTTGAAGATAAAAAGCTCTGGAACTCAAATTGGCACCTTCTGTAACATTAACATTTTATTTATCACAGAAAGAAGATTGTTGAGCTACAATTACGCGCCAACATTGCCTACGAACGCAAGGCTTATGAACAAGTAAATACGGCCCTGTATTCTCATAGTACCGATACTGCTGATGTTACTGTTTTATCAATTCACATGTTACAATTACAATATTATTATTTGTTATGATATTTGATTGAGTCATTTCAATGAGAATAAGTGTGCGTGAGTACTTAATAAGTAATGATGATTTATTGTTGTTGTTTAACTACATAGTCAATAGGTATCTACCTATTGTACTTAATTTCATCTGTCTAATTTACTAAGCATTACCTTGTTATTTAGGGCCGATCGAATATTTGTCCATTTTTCCATTATGTCAATTTTATTGTACAGGGTTTTTTTAAAGGGGGAAAATCATCGAATGACTGCTCCCGCCTGGGTGAGCCGGAGGGAGTGTCAGACTCTTACTGACTAAAAGCCACCCTGTTCCTTCTCCTACATGTCGAGCTGGAGCTCCGGTAACCCGTTAGGTTCTTCGCGACACTCTACAGGGTTTAACTGATAATTAAAAATCGCTCCATATGTTCCCTCCTAGGGGATTCACAATAATGCACATACAGTCAATGTTGTTTTAAATTTACTACTTTTATTTAATTTAAATTACAAAGGTCAAAAAGTGGTCTACCGCAACTTATACCGACGGTAGGTAGCAAAGTAACTACATCACATGCCGATTGACGTAAGTAATTCAACCAGGTAATTGAATACGAGACATTGTTTGATGAACAACAATCAAGAAATTGATACTTAATGCAATAAATTCACGATCATTTTATGAGTATCGAGAATTTGTACAATACACCTAATCGACTTTGTTTTATAAACATGCTCCACTTACCCAGAAACAAAGATTAATCAGTATTCGGAAATAACTAAGTACTTTAGGTAATCTATGTAAATAGATGCTGGAATTAGAATGATTAGGTACTTATAAAGTGCAAATTAACTGCCTCGCTAGTTACATGTGTTACTGCCAAGCAATACCTACTTATCTAATTTCAGACTTATTGCTATCACTCAGTATTTACAGGCCCCATTTCTCCCACTATTGACCTACGTGAACACTTGATGAACAAGGCAATTACCAAAAAACAATTATAAAACAGAGTCAAGTATCACATACAATACATACATAGGTACGTGAGTACTTTTTTGTAGGTAGGTACCATAGCAAATTCACCAAAAAAATGTGCATTTAAGTGGATTGTTTGTGACTTTCTGTTTCTAATTATAAAAAGACCACGAGTAACAATACATCTTTTATCCCCCGAAAAAACCTAATAATAGAAAGGTGTGTTATTTTACTTTTGGCACACAACCCTCTTTCTATTAGTGCATATGATTGCTAATAACAAACTGAACTGGCGAAATGCATCTGGTTAGATGGAGATGTAAGAATACTTTAAGGTTTTCTTTTTTGCTCTACAATTATTTTGTAGCAACAAAGCCTACTGGCCTCCTATGTGGTCAATAATATACACATGGCTCACATGTGCAATATTGTAAATGCTACCAATCATAGACATAGGTAGAAAAACATAATTCACGGAATCAATAAAATAAATTAATAAAATCATATTTTATGCTAATTTTTGAGACTTTAGAATCTTGCGCTATTGGTTTTGCCTTACCTACTCTAAAAAAACGTAATTAAAGTAACGCACACATCCCATTTGTAGACACACTAATTGGGTAACTGCGTAGTAACTATTTATTATTTGTTGTTTTAGATTTAAAACGTTCAGTGTCTTATGTTAAGTATAGTAACTATATAGCACGTTGGTAGGTAAACGTTGATAAACAGAATAAGTAGTGTTTATCTACAAGCTCTCTATTTGCCGCTTTATTTGCAGAAAATAATAGCTTTATGTATTATTTCCAAATTCAACTGTTTTGGAGTCAATTTTACGAAATCAACTAAAGCAACATGTCTTACAATTAAACTGTCAAACACCAAGCGGTCACCGGTGACCGCGACCTATTGTTCTTTAATTGTGTCTATAAAACCGGTACTCGACGAGTTAATCTAGGTACTTATGTAAAGGTACTGGTAAAATGTGTATGTCCTGGTCTAAAGGGAAAAAATAAAACATTGAATTAAAAATACTTATTTATTTACAACAACAATAGTCATTTATAATGTAGGTATAACTTAGTCATCTAATAGATTATTGTCTATTAAGTCATCATCAACGGACTTGCTAACACCCTTCTCTAACAATTGTAACAATTTTGTGTAAACGAGTGTTGGCGCATCAACAGCCCATAAGAAGTCTATGTGATTAAATTCCTTTAATGGCACTATGTAATGTTCAATAGGATTCACCAGCTGTACGTATAAGTTTGACACATCGCCGTCACCAGCCAACCAATCATTTTGCGAGCTGAATAAAGCAATTGGCAATGTAATTTTATGTAATGGATATTCAGGTGGAGTCACCGTCCCATATGCTTTAAAATTATCTACGGGCCCATAATCAAATTGCTGGAACCTGCCACTCTGTTTGATCTCCTGAGCGTAGTGCACTAAAGTTCTCGTGGAAGCACCTGCAGGCACATGTCCCAAAATTATTGGCAACAATGACCTATTGAATTGCCTCTCATCATGTCCACATAAAACAAACATGGAATTTTCACATATCGCTTCCTCATAATGATTTATCTCACAAGCATGTTTTGATAACCACCTCAGCACTGCGTTTTGAGGAAGGAACTCATTAGCTCCGAGTAGCTTCATTAGATACTCTATGTTATCGCTGTACCTTGCCAGTAGTTTTATCGGGCTTTTTATGTCTGTCATGTATGCGACTGGCGCCAAAGCGTAGCCTGCTCTCAATATCTTGTTGTATTGAGTTTTCGTTGATAATAGAGCGAATAGCACTGTGGTCCCCATAGAATGACCGATGTAATTAATTTTCGCGTCCCATCCTTTCACCTCCATAATGTAGTCAATAACAGCCGGCAGATCATGTTGGCTTACGTCGTGGAATGTGAAATTCCAAAACTCAAATGAATCTATATCTCTTGAAACATGAGCTCGGGAATAAGTATTTCCTCGGACGTTGGCTAACCATACGTCATAACCGGCTTCAGACAGAATATAGCCCAAACCCTTCTCGGGGCCTGCTAGGATCCAATCGGCAGAACTTCCAAGCAGGCCGTGATGCATCAGCACTGTTTTCCTAGGACTTACTTTATTTTCAGCGTTTTTGGAATATGGTATCCTGTGTATGGTCAGTATGTAGCCATCATCTGTCACAACAGTATGGGATTCAGCAGGGTATCCATGGACTGCAATCAATTGCGGAGTAGTCATGTGAATCATAGGGTCTTCATTTGTACACTTATACTCCACTGCAGCAGGCGCTATGGTGTCAAATAAATTATTTTTCGATGACTCTGCTTCTATGACGATGTTTCTGAATTGTCTGTTGATCCTCGATTGTCTGTCTTCAGGTCTTTCAATGTAGTTTGAATCGTCATTATTCAAACCTAGGTATGAAGTGATCTTTTTTCGTACATTTTCGACGTAAAAGTGTTTTATCCTTCGTCCCTTTTCACGTACGTAGTTTGAGAGTTGAGTTGTTTTGTTGGAAATAGTGTCTATTACGTTTGGGAACCATGAGATTTGCCGGCACTCACTGTGTTCTATTTGCGATATTAGTATGAACGTAAATACAAGTAGTAGCGGAAGCTTCATGTTGCGAGCGAGAGCGCGACGTCCGACGCTCCTGAGACTGAACTGAATAATGGAGCACCCGAGTAATTTATTCCCGCGCTAGAGGTCAAGGGGAAATAATGAGTAATCCATAACACACTGATGCACACATATTTTACAAACACAAGATTGCTGATAAACAAAGTTCATTTGGTGAATCATTCATTATTTCTTTACGATAGATGTCTACTGGTTTCGTGTTAATTTTGCTTTAACAATAATTCATTACAATAAATACCATTACGATAATTTATTGTTTACAATACAATCTTACAATATTCAGAATTATTTGTAGCGATTAGGTAACAAATATAATATTAACCAAGTCGTTTATTATTGTGTAGGTATGTAGTTAACTACTATATTAACTAAAAATCGCACGTTACTCACGATATACACTCAGTCTCACGATAGTTATTATAGAAACTACTACATTGTTTATGGAGTCCCTACTATTATTTATTGATCGACTGCCTCATTTGTAAAGTGATACAGTGAAACATATGAGACTTCTGAATGTCGGGTCACTGGTACGATATCAGAGTCCAGCTAAGCTAAATTAATTAACACGTGCAAAGCCAAGTGCAAAGCCGGCCCAACGCTCGAATAAGGCGCGAAGGCGTCTTGTAAATAGGCTTGTATTAACACGGAAAATGCTGAACCAGACCGATTTAATAAATAATGGCGGCCTAAATACTTAGCTCTTATGTATTCAGGTGTTTTAGTAAGACTGGCTATACAGTTTAAGACCCAAACGTCTCATAAATGTTTGACAGTGTGACTATATCTACACAGGTATTTAAAGCAACTGTCGTGGGTTTGATTCCCGCGCAGATAAAATATTAATGCGATCCACGAATTATGTAGTTTTGGCTTAATTTAATTTTGTGTCTGATATTTTTTTAAACATTCGGCTACCAAAAGAAGCATTGGGTATGTACATACTATCTATGTCTCGTCGCTCAATGATGTAGGTAGGTATATTAATAGAAAATTAAAAAATCGACCTTTTGCTACTTATACATATTTTCCCTATCAGTTATAGCTTGATGTTTTATAGCTTAACGCATTCAGTGCCCATGACGCGTCTGTGCGTTTTGTGACACGACGCTATGTGCCCGGGACTCAAATATGCGTTCTATTCATTTGACCCTTTTTTTGCCTGCTGCCCGTCGACGCGTCCGAGGGTCTATTGTTTCGAAACCCATATTTACACATATGTACTTCCTTATCTGATTTCTTTGATAAAGGTCATTACACACTTTGTACGAATTATAAAAAAAACTTATTCTACTACTACCAATGCAATAATCAATAATGTTGTTCAGCCGTTTCGAAATATAAATATACTTAGAACAATTGAAAAAAGAAATATCCACGTAAGACTACGATCACCTTTGGTGGTATTTTTTTTCAATGTTATCTCGATCATCTCTTTTTTTTCCAAGAAACCTAAAATTTCACATAACACATACATACGCACAATAGAATCACATTAGTTTGCTGATAACGGCAATACAATGCACGGCGGTGCCTTAGAAGATTTTAAATACCACGAGAGCTAAAGCCAAAATCTACCTAGATACCTAATTGTTTTTCCAAGAAACCTAATATTTCATATGACTCTTATCTACATACGCACAATAGAATCACATTAGTTTGCTGATAACGGCAATACAATGCACGGCGGTGCCTTTGAAGATTTTAAATACCATATCCACCAGGCGCTATAGCCAACTATCGAAATGTTTTAGGATAAACCTATACGAGATAATAAGTACCTTACTAAATATCTATGGTGAAAGACTATAATTTATATATACTCATGCGTCGTGACATACGTTTAAAAATCCAACATCAACCTCCTGTTTTTGAAGTAGGTTCATTAGTATACTAAACCCATCCCCTAAATGTAACAGAAGTTTTTCTGAAAACCGCATCAAAATCGGTTCAACCAATCGCGAGATAATCGCGTACAAACAAACATACAGGTCAAACTGAGAACCTCATTTTTTTAAGTCGGTTAAAATACAACAATGTTCTAAATATAAACCTACTTACCAATTATAGAATTATTACGTTCATCCTTAGTTTATATTTAGATAATTTTTTCAATTTCACTACATAAAATAAATAATCTTATGGATTATAAATTCCATTACAGTGTGTCATGACCCTAACTTTTATCTCCAGATACATAATATTCTATCGTATTTTCGTAAGTATATAACAAACGCACAGACGCGTCACGGGCACTCGTCGAGAGTCGAACGGACGCATATATGAGTTTCGGGCACACGGTGGGAGCCGTAAGAACGCGTATATGAGTTTCCGGCACACGAAAAGGGCAAACATTGAACGCAATAGTGCGTGCGGGGCACTGTAGGATGTCTTATAATTCGGGCACTGGAGAAAATCCACTGGGCAGTGAATGCGTTAAAGGCTATCAAACAAACTTTGCAGTTTTATACATTAGAATAGATTAACAATACCTATCTATGTAAGTATTTTTTTTAAGGGGGGAAAATCATCGAATGACTGCTCCCGCCTGGGTGAGGCGGGAGGGAGATCACCTGAAAGTCATGTCATACATACTAATTTTTTTTAAGGGGTGAAAAGCCCGCTTTTATGATGCGGGAGGGAGTGTCAGAATCTTACTGACTAAAAACCACCCCGTTCCTTCTCCTGCACGTCGAGCCGGAGCCCCGGTAACTCTTTAGGTTCTCCATGACACGTAAGTAATAATAATAGAAAAATTAAAAAAGGTGTTGATAAGGTTTTGTTTTATATTTTGGCAGTGCCACTTCAGTAGCAAGTACATGCAGATTGTTCACCTCTAAGCTCTATGTAAGATAGTCTATAGTATCTACCTTTTTTTTTGATGGCAGGGGGAAACCTTCAAAAGCCTCCTAGCTTTTTGTGAAAAAAGACTAGGGAAAAAAAGACTAAATGTGGGATTTCAACCTCACTAAAACCACCCCGGTGGCCACCCTAATCACCTGTAAGGAGCACCGGGTCCTCTAAAAGAGTCCTGCTCTGCAGCCACCACGGTGCAACGCATGTTACGATACACACCTGTGTACCTACATAATTATCAATTTACTTTTTATAACGTGACCCTACGCCTCATACGGGATTTTCTCTTGTGTTATGGACGTGTTTACAAACAAACAGCCATTTATAAAGTATACAAAATTTTGTTCCGACGAGCGAGGATCAATCTCGCGATATGTCGTCAATCAGTCACCAATTTGCTTTAACTACATGTAGGGTATTTACGTGTACATGTAAAAACAGTAGTAGATACATGGATATTTCTGTACACTGTACATCTAGTTAATTTATTTGCGTCCTGCCTTTATTCGTTGTTGACAGTTGCAATTGAATAATAAACTGCTGACAAGGCCAAACGGGAGGGTGCAAGAGGTCAATAGAGACTAACATTCTTGTGTGTAAGTAGACACCTCATATGTAAATAAGTTAATTTCAATTCATACATTAGTCTAGATGTGGCGTAGCGTAGCGTAGATACCTACTACTACGAGTCCGTACGATTTACAAACTGGGCAAGTGTCTAGAACGCCAGGTTATAAAGGGGCGTCGCAAGACGTGCATGCCCATAAAGTACCGGTGGCACCAAGAAAAGTTAGGGGTGCCTATGAGGTACTTGCTCTTGTACTCTGAACCTAGTTCATCTGCCTACGTACGATTTTGAGTTATTTAGGCATCATCCTTTTGTTTATTCTTATGTTATCTTTTTCCGAGTAGAAATGTTTAAAACTTAAATGATGGTAATACAGCAATTGTAACCTCGTCCAAAAAAAAAGAAAATATCTTGTTTTGCTTCGAGCTGGGGATTATGTGCCAAAAGACTGATAGCCGACGAGTGACGACGACGTGATAACAAACGATAACGAACGAAAATTTTGGTCTGTGTCCCTCTGGTCAGCTAGTCAGCTGTCATCTGTTATAAAATAGGTTATTTTAATCAAAATAAACATAACAGTTTTTTTAAGTTTTTAAAATACAAAACAGCAATCCAAACGAAGCGCAGCATGTACAAATTAAATAATTTGACAAATTTTACGAGTCTATTGAAAACAAAATGGGATGAAATTCACAACGAAACAGATATATTCCGATATAAAATTGATGGTGTAGAAGAAAGGATTGTTGATGGAAAATATTTCCTGCAGGTGAAAATTTAAATAATGATCTTATTATTTCCATCTCTAAATAAACTGCGTATCTGTGGTACTTATTAATTTTTTTTTCAGTTAAACCCAGACCGGCGTTCTAAAAGACGAACTCCAGAAGAAATGACCAGTATTAGTCAACCATTTGACGAAAAAAAGTTTCATTTCAACAAAGTTTCTACAAAAGAAATACTATTTTCTTTGGAAGGCAGAGGTACAGTCTATAGCTGATGTGGAAAGGTTTCAAAGCCCTTTGTTTGTACTTAAATTAAAATACATATATTATGCACATCTTGGACATTGCATTAATAGTGGAATTTATTGAAAATTTAAAAAAGCGTATTAGTTATAATCTATTATGCTAATATATAAATCTGAACTGCTCGGGTTCGATTCCCTAGTCGGACAATGTATTACTGAGATTTTTAGCTCACCTGCTATTACATGGGACTCGTAAGTCATAACATAAATAGTGAAAAGTCGGTGTTATATTGTACAGTGGCGTTAAGTGCCGTTATGTGCACCTCTGCCTACTCCTTCGGGGATAAAGGGCTTGATGTTATGTTATGTACATGTTATGTTATGTATAAAGCTGAAGAGTATTTGTATCCTTGAACACACTAAACTCTGGTCCTACTGGTTTGAATAGAATCATTCTTTTTTGTGTTGAGTAGTTAATTTATTGAGGAAGGCTATAGTGTTAAAAGAAAACAAGGTTAGGGAGTTTATAGGAATCATTTATTGCGTATTGAGGGTAGATGACACATATTCAAACATTCCGTTTATCATCAATCAGATTCAAAATCATTACAACTTTAGCATACACAATATTCATTAATTCATAAATATATAAAATAATAATTAGCACAGAAATAATTCAATTATAACGGAATAATGTCTTGCGACCTTATTTCCGACCGCCTATTTACCAATTGGAGAGATGTTGCTTCGGTGACGCCGCGTAGCCAAGTGACTCCCGTCCAGTAGTGTTCAAAAGGCTGCCATGCCTCGCCCCTCCAACTATCCTATGACGTTTTCTGTTTGAGTGCGTCACAACCGGAAGCGTTGAAAAATAAGTGCGACAACAATAGGCTCAAGCAAGTAGTGGGTGTAAACATGTGGAAGTAGTTAGTTTAGTATATGTACATAAGTATGTAATTATATTAGGACTATAATGGAGCAAATGGAGAGTGATCACCGGTGACCGCTTGCTGACTAGCCAGTCGACATTACAATAATATTTTTTTTTATCTTTATTTTATAACTATGAATTTTTTTCTAATAGAAAAACGTCAGCCCTACTATAGAATACAAAATTCAGTACATAACTACGAAAATAAAGTACCTAGCTAAACTGTTTATAAGTTTACCTAGCATTTAAACTTAAACATAAAATAACTAGGTAAGCAATACAATTTTCTAGCCTCAGCCGACAATGGTGACGCTGAAACACTGATAAAAACCAATCACAATAATATTTACAGATGGAGACATACACACTGTATTGGTGAATGTGAGTCCTATATCCAGGTACCATTCGTTGCTGTGCCCATCTGTAAGCAGATGCCTACCTCAGGTGGTAACTCCTGACAGTTTGAACATAGTCGTACAGGTCATGTTCCAAGTTGAAGATCGGTGAGTGTAGGCAAGTACAGAAACTAATGAATTCCCTTATGATTTACTGACTTATGTTAATTAAAGATTATCTGTATATTTTGGGCAGACATGCTCTATTGTAGGCCGCATCATCGCTTACCACCAGGCGAGATAGTGGTCAAACTTCAACTCGTTTAAAGAAATTATAAACATTTCACTTTTGTTAGTACTATTTTGAGTCCAAACTTTATTGTGCTTGGTGTATTCTCAATAAGTTTGATCCCTTAGTTGAACCTTATAGCAGCTTTATTTTTTTAATGGAGGAATGAATTATGGTTTTTATTTTACAGAGATGTAAGAATTGGATTTAATAGCATTTGCGGTTTTGCATCTGTCAATCATTTGCACTATCACATATTTGTTGAAGAAAAAACTTTGCATATAGAAACTGTGGTTAGTATGACCTTTGAACTATATCTCATAATCACTATCACTATGTAGTATAAAACAAAGTCCCTATGTAAGTTTAAATTTTTAAAACTACGCAGCGGATTTGATCCTGTTTTTTTTATAGACAGACTTAAGGAAGGTTTATATGTATAATACATGCATATTGCACCCGTGCGAAGCCGGGGCGGGTCGCTAGTGATAGTATAATAAACTAGTTGTTATGATGATTGCCATAGTAAAATTAAATAATAAATAAATTTTTCAGAAATGGCAACACTTCAAATGGGAAATGTATCTCCTGGATGACGAATTATCAGTACCTGCTTTTTGTTTTAAAATAAAACAAGACTCTTCTGGCCAGACATTGCAACAAGCTTGGAAAGTTCTGAAATACTTCTTAGAGAAGTCTATTGCTCACAATATTCTTTTTACCAAAAGAGGTTTGGGTGACGATGAGTTATATTTGATAGTATGGCCACGGAGGAATACTTGTGGTGCGAAACAGTTGTCAGCTTTTAATGTGGCTATGTTGGAACTCAGTGGCTGGTTCCCAATATATGGTAACATTTTTTTATGATTTATGGGTCGATGTGTGGGTGTGGCCACTCATAGCATTCTAGCAGTTGATAAGGGTCTGTGTAGGAGTTCAAATCAGTGCCACAGTTATAATACCACACAAGTTCCACTAATATTTTTTTGCTGAGTTCACATTACATTTGATTTGTGACATTAAAAAATTTTTTAATTGAAATTTTCAGTAAAAGCATGTTAATACATTGTCACGATTTGTAATTCTTTTTAAACAATTTCAAAAAGTAGGATCTCAGTTTGACCTTTATTTACCTATGATTGTGCATGATTATCTCGCGATTGTCTGAACCGTTTTCGATGCGGTTTTCAGAAAAATGTTTTTTACACTAAAGGAGAAGGTTTTAGTATATTACTTAATTAATATATTTATACTAAAACCTCTCTTATATTTAATTAATATTATATAGTTAATTAAACCTTTTCCTTTAGGCTAGCCAACTTCAAAACAACAGGAGGTTTAAGTCGAATAAAATAATTATTTATTTTTACCTACAACATACCTATTTACTTATTTTTTTTACAGATGAAGAAGACTTTAAGAATGTTCAAGCCAAAGATCTTGAGGCAGAATTAGTGAAATGGAAAAGAGATGACTTTAAAAGTATTTGTGAAAATATTAAATGTATATTGTAAATTATTATTACATTTTCCTATTGGAGATAATCATAAGATCCAAGTTGCATAATAAACAATTTTATTAATGTTAAACACTTTTTTATTTTACATAAATAGCATTATTCATTTTGTAACAATCATTTTAATAAAACTGTGTCTACTGTGATATTGGTCTATCATAAAACTGAATTTATTTTTCACACACAGTTTAATATTGCATCACAAGAAATAGCCGTCAAGATGTAGTCCTTAACTTAAAAGTTGAGTGTCATACTAAAACGAAGATAATCTAGTGATTATCTAATAAATATGTATGTACAGTCCACAGTTTCTTTGACACGGTAGTTAGTACATTTATAATGGCCCAACTATAGTACAACCATTAGTTGGTAAGTATATTTTTATCTGTATAAACAAATTGGCTGACTGTACATTAATATTCAACTTATATTTAGTTCTGATTTTAAATTATTTGGATTCAAAGGATTATCTTCATGGTACATTAACAATATTTCTGTTATTTTATTTGACATTTGTGCTGCTTCATAGGAACTCATTTGTGATAATTTTTGAGCAACTAATTGTCCTACTTGTCCATACTTCGTATTTTCTAAACCGAAAACATCATTTTGAACTCCACGGAATACATTTAGAATACCGTTAGCTATATTTTGACATGTAGGGTCACTGTTGTTAGATTTTTCCGAGTTATCGGAATTACTAGATAAGTCTTCTTGTTCTGTTTCATCCTGGAAGAAGGTTGGTTATGGTTATCAAATAGTGTTAATAAGTTTTAGGTGACAAAAATAAATACTCTTCATGAGATTTATACTAAAGATGAATATAGTTAGGATGCTAGCAGTAAGTGGCTTATTATGGGTTTCATTCATACCTTTAAATCATTATTACTGCAGTCATTTGCATCCCCTTGAATGTTTTTGTTTACTTTAAGTAGAAACTTGCAGGCATCCCATAAGTGCCAGGTTACCTTGTAAATCTGAAATAATAATTTTTTTTTGACAAATATATGACAATATACAAACCCAGTTTTATGTAAGTACTTAGGCTTAAGTAATTGTTCATATTAAATGGTTCTTAAATAAATACCTCTCCATCGCCTTTAGCCTGATTTGCTTTTACTTTCCTCAAGTAATTGGCAAAGGTAGACCGTATATTCGTCCAACGGTCTTTTACAATCTGTCCTGTGAACTCGTTACCGTACAATGAAGCAAATTCCGCGTAAGTTTTGTCTCTGTATTTTAACGAAGTGTACTTTGGATGTTTAGGGTTCCAAATGTTCGGTCTGCTTTCCATGAATTTCACTAATTTTAAATTCATCTTTCTCGTCCAATATACTTTTTCTTTTGCGAATTCTGATATCATTGTCACTATTTCTATAATACTATAAGAGTTGTATTTCTATCAGTTTATTTTTGTTTTTGATTAAAAATCCGGCTGTTTTTGTTTACACACATTTGACATTCATCATCGACAACTGACATTAGTGTCGATACTTACCAAAAGCTAAAAATAGAAAAGTTGCCATTATAAATTTGAAATAACATGTTAAATTAAAACCAAATAGTATAAATAAGTATAATTAAAACATTAGCACCATCTGTATTTAGCAACATACAACTTAAGTATAAGTTTTAACTTTTGGTAGACAGATGGTATTCCCCGTATATCTTATGCAAGGAGTTAACAAAGTTTCTTTATGATGGGGTCCTTTACTTTATATAAGGTCTAATTTATTAAGGGCAGTTGGCATAGAAATGTACAATATGTCTTTTAACATAAAAGTAATAATACCTAATAGGTAATTTATTATGTACATTCAGTCAAAAAAGTATCGGGAATGGATGATTTGTTTATGGTTCCAAATTCAAATTTAATTTTTTTTGTAATTGTTAAATTGGCACTGTTTTCCATTTTGGCGCGGAGTTTGAGTTGCATCTTTTATTTAACAGTGCTGGTTTTAGTAATATCATATTGTACCTCCGGTGCTATAGCGTCACTTATGTATTGCGGGAGGCCGCGCGCAACTGAATAATGAAACGTTGTTTCTCCCAGTGCCGTCCAGATTCGCGCCAAAACCGTAACGACAGTAATCCCTCACGATGACACGTTTGCGTACTACACACGTGAAAATAACGCACCAAGTAAAGGGGTGAATTTGGAGTATTCGTAATTAATCAGTTAAGTTTTGACAAAAATTGCATAAGCGACGATATTGCACCGTAGGTTTTTTATATTATTGTATTGCGAATTTCATAATGGACAAAAATATCGAATAAAGAGTTTGTCTTAAATTTTGCATCGCCAATGGAATTTCATGTTTGGAGTCACTGAAAATGTTACAGAAGGCTTACGGTGAATCGACTTTAACAAAAACTCGTGCTTATGAGTGGTTCAAAGCGTTCAAAAGCGGTCGAGATGTGATAGAAGATTTGCCTCGCTCTGGTAGGCCGTCAACGTCTGCCACTGAAGTTAACATCGCAAAAATCACTGGGACTCATATCTAAATCTAATCGTGAGCGGAGGCGTCACTCAAAGATCTGATGATTATGTGTAAAAACGGTATAATTTCATTTATTTATGACTAGCTTCTGCTCGCGGCTTCGCAAATCATAATCTATTTCTGTTCCAAATTTCAACAAGATCCCTTCAGCCGTTTTAACGTACCTATTATTGAATTTTTTTTATAGTGTAAATCGGTAAACGAGCAGACGGATCACCTGATGGATGGTAAGCAATCGGCGCCGCTTATGGACACTCGAAACACCAAGGCGTTACAAGTGCGTTACCGGCCTTTTGCGAATTGGGAATTTGAGGATTGTGGGGGATACGGGGATTCGGGAGACGGGAACTAGGGAGGGGGGTAATTGGGCCTCCGGTAACCTCACTAACACGACGAAACACATCGCAGTGAGGCCGTGGTATCACTCCGGTCGAGCCGGCCCATTCGTGCCGAAGCATGGCTCTCCCACACTTAAATACCACAGATAAATACACACAAACACACAAAATTTCGCATTTAAATTATTGAGATATTTGACTGCACGGTTGGCGCGGTGGCTGGGCAACCGGCAACCGCGCTACATGTAGTGGGTTCGATACATACTTACACGGAGCAACTCTTTATGTGATTCACTTATAGTTGTTTCGTATCTAGGTGCCATATTATGTATTATGTGAACACGTATGTTTATTCATCGCACGGAAAATATAGAAGAAAAGTCAAGTGTGGGACAAAGATTAAAATAAAAGATTTTTTGAATTTAATAATTTATGCAAACTTAAACGCATGTACATACATACGATCGTTTAAATTAGCAAATATCAATTAGCCGATTAATTCTCGACGCCTTAACATTGTTTTAATTTGTTTTGAGTTCATTGCGTGATCATGACTTTAGAATATTCGCACACAACGGCCTTGCATGCGAAACAAGCCACGATTTTATTCCTATTTCAGTTTCATGTAAAAATCTACGCATTATTTATTAGTTATGCTTTCTCTTGTTAAGTGAAAACTTGAAGTTGATAATATGTGTACCTATGTATGATTAGCTATAAAGATCCAATCTTAAGCTTTCGTGAATTGGGTCCTTTGTTTAGCGGTGGTGTTGTTACATGAGATCGTTTTTTTTTCGACGGAGTGCATTTCCTTTTTGTTTTACAGAGTTCCAGGGAACCTAGTTCCTAGTTGACACCTACTTATAACAAATTTCGATTTAAATAAGAATATCCTCACAAATAAATAAGTTATGCAGTTAACAATATGCTATGCGAAATGCTAAGATAGCTACGTACGAGAGATTTAAAAAAATTTAATTTCAATAAAACTGCAGTTCTTTAGGTACTAGATCCAATAGAGTGCACATTGATCTAAAAATACGATAATTTAAAGGTTTTTTTTTTATTTATAGATAACTAACGATTAAGTACACACGTAAACCATAATTATATTTTATCTTCAAACAATCACTTGCAGAAAGAGAACGGCTAGTAATTGCCGTCCATGACTGCAATGTCAGAAGCAACGTCGACTCCCGCGCAACGGTACACCCTAGGATCTCGATAGCGGCGTGAGCGCAGTCGTCGTCGCGGCCTTAACCGCCATGGGTCGTTCTCTCCGCACGTTTGCGGCCTACTCACAGCCGTTCGTAGTGAAAAATGCTCGATATGCAACCAGCGGGTGCCCGTTCTCAAAACGGCAACGTTCCCAAATTGCCCCCACCGCGGAATTGAGTGAAGAAATTTTCTCTAATGCCAAACCTTACTCCGAAGTTCCTGGACCAAGACCGATCCCGATACTGGGGAATACATGGCGGATGGTGCCTATCATCGGGCAGTTCGACATTTCGGAATTCGCGAAAGTGACCCAACATTTTTTGGATACTTACGGCAGGATTGTGCGCTTAGGAGGGTTGATTGGAAGACCGGATCTGCTGTTTGTGTATGATGCGGATGAAATAGAGCGGATGTACCGACGGGAAGGGCCAACACCGTTCCGTCCTGCGATGCCTTGCCTCGTCAAATATAAGTCTGAAGTCAGGAAGGATTTCTTCGGAGAACTGCCAGGCGTTGTGGGAGTGTAAGTACCTATATCAAAGATGAATCTATTTACTAAAAAGTTTCACAGCTAATGAGCCATGGTGACCTCTTGTTCTTGACCTCCTTTTTAATTCGGTTAGCTTTTATTTTCGTTTTACTTTTGGACCGGTTCTTTAGTGTGGGATTTATATTTTTGTATGCCGTATTCCTAATTTGTCTAATATTGAAATTACTTGACCTAATGTACCAAGTAAACGACTAAGCTCATCTAAATGCGCTATGAATTAAAAAAAGCGGTTTTTATTAACATCTGCGAGAGCCTAAGTTCCGTTAACGAACGGAATGCGTAAAACTTTCACTCCGCAAAAACGAAGCGAGTAGAAAAATAGACATTAATGATTTTAACATAGCCTCATTGTGATGGATGACATCTTTTACGATGATACTTTGAAATTATTATTTCTTTAAATTAATATAATACTGATTGCGAAAGTTCCAACAAGGTTGGATAAGCTAACTTATAATAGGTTCGTATTTCTAAACTTATAAAGTCAAGGTATGCATTCGTTTTGACCGTAGCAGGTTTGTATATTTTGTAATATTTAATTAAAATATGTTTTATTATGTATCTTGCAATTTTACGTGCCAGGCGTTGTAAGAAAATGCGTGACGACTATAAAATCGAATATCAGGTTGTAAATCTATTAACAACATTATTCGTTTTGTAAATGAATTTTGTATGTGTAATTGTTAATTGTGTTTAAATTATTAGTAAATACAATATAGACCACAAAAAATGTTAGTAGTAGGTAAAACTATAAACATAAATAACGAATATTCTATTAGATTTTTAGTAGCTTTTCACCTGCGACTTTTGTGAATTATTAAAAAGGTTTCTCTTGTATTTGTTTTAAGGGGGGAAAATCATCGAATGACTGCTCCCGCCTGGGTGAGGCGGGAGGGAGTGTCAGACTCTTACTGACTAAAAGCCACCCCGTTCCTTCTGCACGTCGAGCCGGAGTCCCGGTAACCAGTTAGGTTCTCCGCGACAGGTTTCTCTCGTATAGGTTCCAATTACAATCCTGTAAAAATATCAGTACAAAAATTATACATAGCTGACACCCTGATAAGCAAAATTTTCTATGGTTTTGAAGTCTACTCAATAGGTAATCGACCGGACGTTATGTCAACCATAGAACCCTACCTAGCACCTCTACCTCAAAGAGTATAACAAGTATAGGGGAACTTAACCTACACAGATTTTTAGTGTCATTACAAAAAGAATGTAATTTTGCACTCAAACCTTTTTAATGCTTAAATCTTTTCCGCGTGAGAAGAGGCTTTGCTCAGGAGTGGGCATTTATATTTATAGCTGGTAATGATGATGATTTTTTTACGATCAGTAGATGTAGATAATAGAATGTAATTAAGATTATTATAACATAAAGATTTTGAGTATGATTACGACACAAAAGCATTTGTTGGTAATAGACAATACTTAATAATTTATCGATTAAACTGTCAAACACCGCGAGGACACCGGTGACCGCAACCTATTGTTCTTTAATTGTGTCTATAATGGCGGTACTCGACGAGTTAAGAACAATACCAAATCGACTAGTTTTGGGAACAGTTTCAAAAATGAGCTATGATTTTTTATTTAATAATTCTACGTTAGGTAGTCGAGTTAGTCTTTGATTGTTTTTTTATTTAATTATTAATTGAATAATTTTAGCATGAAATCTGGTACCTACTTTTCCCCTTATAACAATCGTTTTTCACTAGACAGAGGACCGAGTGTTACATTTTTATGAACCTAGGTACATTTTGTGCACCTCTGCCAAGAGCCTTAAGAATTAAAGAGGTGAGGTTTTAAATGCATGTGGGCCAACAGATGTCGTAGTCACAAGGTATTGCTTAACCTCGGTAGGTCCTACGATCGATTTGTTTAGCGTGCGTACGCACAGCGCAAATATACGTGATGTTCGTACCTAACTGCATTTGTTTATCTAGGCTATATACTAATGGTGTACCTATATGTAAGTTAGGCTATGAAGTTTAATTGAATTGGCATTAAAACACCAGCAGAAAATATAACTAACCGATCTCCCTTTAAAATCTTGTGATCTTTATCGAATAACATAACATCACACCTTTTTTTCACGAAGGGCTAGGCAGAGGTGCACATTATGCCACTGTACAATGTAACACCCACTTTTCACTATTTATGTTATGAGTCCCATGTAATAGGTGGTGAGCTTATTGCCATATACCGAGCACAATTCCAGACTCTGTCGCGGAGAACCCAACGGGTAACCGGGGCTCCGGCTTGACGTGCAGGAGAAGGGACGGGGTGGTTTTTAGTCAGTAAGACACTCCCTCCCGCCTCACCCAGGCGGGAGCAGTCATTCGATGATTTTCCCTCCTTTAAAAAAAAGACTCCGTGCTACTACTGAAAATATTTAAAACCCAGTAATACTTTGCCCGAACTTTCAATCGAACCCGAGACGACCACTCGGCCCGGCAGTCGCACTTACGACCACTCGGCCAACGAGGCAGTCACCCTCAAGTACTTTATATTATAACTTTCGTAAGACATACTAAACTAATTGTTATGTTTACTCACGTCCTTATTTGATTAAGGATGGAGGTACAGGATGGCTTTAAACTAGTCGAGTTCCTCGTCAAGTAATTACGTGAGTAAGCCGAAAAACATATAATATAGTCAATTTTGTAACAAGTAGTTTCGGTATGATAAACGTTCAAATCTATTGTGCTTATAACATTGATATCCTAGAAATAGAAGAACAAGTTTATACTAGTAGTTTTTTCTGCAGATGATCATGATAACGATGACGATTAAGCATGATATTCTAAACCGACAATTAGGTCACATTATCTAAACTCTGTCATCTGTTATTGTTCGGGAATTCTTGTTCGTCAGTTTTCAATTCGAGAGTTCATAAAACCGCATTGTCATGATTGAATTTAGTTACAATATTTGTATTCTAGATTTTCATGAATGTGTGAAGGTTATTTGTTTAAAAGTTTATGTTCAAAATGTATATGTTTATTACTGGTATAATTATCGTGTTTTACGATTGCGGAATTGTCAATATGTTTTTGGAATTGCCCAGGTCCTAGGTGTCATTTAGTTTTTATGGAATAGACTTGTATTGTTTTTTTGTTTTAGTTATTATTTATATGTACACTACATAATCTTATATCTGCACTAATGGCACTTTTGTATAAGTAAATGTAAATTGAAACGTGTGTATGTACTTAGGTGCGTGCATAACTTCCAAACACCATAATCTGTTGGTGTTTTAATATTATTGTCAAGGTAAAGGCTATATGAAACAAAACTTTGGAATATTCACCGGGTAATAGGGCCGTGCGGAGACAGGACAAGACTCTAGTTTATAAACAATACTTAGCTGTGTTATTCGATTGAGACTATACTGCCCTCTGGCTTAATTAAGTTTTATGAGATTTAACTATCAAAGTACGTATTGTTAATACAATGCTTAATGCTAATGGTAATGTTTAATAAAAGTATACAACGCATTACAGAAAAGCAGACTCCAAGTCCTGCTATGTAACGTACAAATTCCTAGGAAGCCAAACTAAATGTTTTTGCAACTTTTAATGTTATAAAACTACAACAATATTTCTACAAATAGACAGAATAGTTTAAGAGCTGTTCACACGTAGTCAGTTCTAAGTGTTGACAATGGGAGTTTAGCACAATTTGTGACTATTGGTTTAGTTATTAACACATGTTTAGAGGTCAAAATGTTAGATAATATGTCTTTGAATACATGCATTGTCATTCTGATACTTAAGTCTCCACGTTTGTGGCCCTGAGATACCCTTGTGATGGTTAAATTATATTTTGGTCTATGTTAAATTATTACCTTGTGGGTTAGTGCCCGTTTTCACCACCTATCCTAAATTTGAGTTCAAGTTAAGATAGATGACACTTAAAGTCATTATTTTCACCAACCTATAAGTGATATGTAACAGTACAAGTATCAATCAAGTATATAATCTTTTATCAATTAATTATTTATATAGACTGCGTTTTTGGCCGAGTGCGACTGCCGGGCAAGGGGTCTCGGGTTCGATTACCTGTACTGAGTACACCAATAGGGGTCACTTATAAAGTTCAAGAAATTCTTAATGTGATTAATGTCGGAATACTGAAACGCTACTCAATTTAGGGAATCTTTAAAATTTAATAATGTTTGATAAAAACGGGTTTATTATGTGAAGAAGTCTAATAATCCCTTTGGAGAAGCAAAGGCGTGTATGGTATGTTCCACCTCAGGTTACAACGACCGGTTTCATCGCGAAAGCTGTTATACCGCAAATATATCTTCGCGATTTTTATACCATCCATTCCAACACAGAATCAAATAAAGATTCTTCGATTTGTTAGTTATTTTCTAATCTTGTTGTGAAGTCGTCTTTAATGGAGAAAGTTTGGAAAAATATTTAAAAACAGTTTTTTTTAAGAACACGTTGCCCCACACTATAATTTTCTCCTGTGTCGTGGGTACGTTTACACACATACACACGACACCCAGACCCGAAACAACAATTAGTGAATCACACTAAGTGTTGTTTTTATAATAACTATCGTGAGACATACTAAATTAACTAAAAATCGCGGGGTACTCACGGTCGCCTACTGGTAGGCTGCGCGACATCGCCGCGACCGCGCACGCTGCTCATGAGGAAGAATCCCTCTGTGGTTCGAAACTAGTAGAGCTTTTCTCAGTATATTTACGTGAGAAACCCGTTATAATTTCATCAAGTTTGAAATCGCCAACCCACATTAAGCAAGCGTGGTGATTAATGCTTAAATCTTCTTGTATGAGAAGAGATTTTGCTCAGCTGAGGACTCCCATGCGGTTTGACCCACTCTGTTCAGTTCCTATTGAGCGTAACGTGATGTTATTTCTATAGCCTATAACCTTCCTCGATAAATACACTATCCAACGCAAAAATAACTATTCAAATAAGACCAGTAGTTCG